TGTCTGTTCTGTACAGTGTAGAGCTGGAAAAATATTTTGTGGGATAGGAGCCCATTTCCTCTTCATCTCTAGAAAATAATATCAGACAGACAAAAAGGAAATTAGGAATTTTATTATAAAATTCTACCTTTATTCAAAAGCTCACTGGAGAAGTTCACTGTACCTGTTTTAATGAACTTTAAAACAGGTCCAATTTTTTGTAATTCCACAGTCCCTTCAGAAAAAAAACCCCTTTTCCTTCCCAGCTAAGTACAGTACTTTATACCTGTTATATTTATAGCCATATTCCTTTCAGTAAAGTTTAATGTGCAATCATTTCAGTCTGTGGTCTTTCCTGTAGACCCACTTTCAGTATGCAAAGCTGGAGTGACTACAAGAGATCTAGAGAAGACTTTTTTACAAATGCTTGTAGTGACAGGATAAGGGGAATGGTTTCAAACTGATAGGGGGTAGGTTTAGATCAGATATTGGGAAAAAACTCTTTACTGTGAGAGTGGTGAGGCACTGAAACAGATTGCCCAGAGAAGTTGTGGACGCCCCATCCCTGTTCAAGACCAGGCTGGATGGGTCTGTGAACAACCTGATCCAGTGGAAGGTGCCCCTGTCCATGGCAGGGAAATTGAACTAAATGATCTTTATGGTCCCTTCCAACCCAAACCATTCTATGATTCTAGACAAATACAGAAGTCTCATAAATATTTGCTGGCATTTTAAAGCTTGACTGGATCTAAGTCTCCTCTTAGGTGTGATCTACGCATGAAAAGAAATCAGAATGACTTCACCTGAAGAGAAAAATGTGTGGAGTCACTATATCAGTCTCTGTTGAAGTCATTCCTAGCTGCCAACAAAACAGGACTATTCTGGCACTGCTATGCCAGTTGATCTCCCAGACAGACTAAATAATACACGTGCTGTAATCAAAAAACAAAAGCTTTGCTGTTATCTGTATAGGTAGTCCTGATTAGAGCAAGGCAAGAACAGCTTCAGGGGCAAAGGTAGAACTCCTGCTCAGGGCAAAGGTCTGTGGCAGCACAGTGATCTCAGCAGGGGCTTCTGCACAGCACAGAACTTCACTGCTCATAAAGACATTCCTGTGAATAGGCTAAAGGGAGTACTGGGAGCTGGAGAAAACTAAACACAGGGGAAGAAAACACATCAATAAACACCATTTAGACAATAAGTTTCAAACCTCTATCTTCAACTGAAAAGTTAATAAAAAAGGAAGGGGGAAGGAAGGGGGGAAGGAAATAGTCTCAAAGCTAAGTACTCTGGGAAATAAATTCAGAAATATGCTGACTTGTCACATGAGGTTTTTCACAGACCTCTTTCAGGAATACAGAAAAGGGAGCCCAGTCCAAAACAGTTACAGAAGGAGGAAGTTAGTGCCACAGAGAACCTTAGATCACAAAAAGTTAGAGCAAGTTGGATAAAGACAGCACAAGCCCTACTCATGCTCTAAGCAACATTCAGTGTTCCCTTGAATCATGTACTTTGGGAAAAACCCTTCAGATCATTGTGATGTTCCAGTTCACACTAAGAAAATGTAACTAAACAGTGGCCTAAAACTGCCATTAGGAAGAAATCTCTGCTAAGTGTTTTAATTGGCCTTATGCAAGATCACAAAGACACTGTGTTTGAAGACAAAAAAAAAAAAAAACAAAACTCAAAACCAAAATTACACCATAAGAACAAGTGATTGTCAGAAGTAAAAATAATTCAATGTTAACAAAATGTAGGAGATGTTATAAAACAAAGGGAACACTATAATTCACTATCCATATAGTCCATGTTCCCAGAAACTAATATCAGATCCTCTCTAATAGAGACAAAATTCCCATCCCAGAGAAGAACAGAGGTTCTCAAATGGTTTGTATGCCATTTGCATACTTTTATCAAATATTTTATATCTTAAAAAATAACTTATATAGTGCAATAATTTCTGCCTTTATTTCAATCCTTTTTCAATGCTTTTTATTTTTTCACTGACAGCAAAACTTAACTCTGCCTTAACAAAGTTTCACCCATTTAAACAATTCTCAGAGCATTTACACAGTCTTCTTCTACAGAGCACAGGTAAATAAACAATTTATGTTGCTATTAAACAGAAATTGCATGCCTTCTGGTCCCTCATCATCCTAGCCAGTGTGCTGCCAGAAATGAAAGGCAGTGTTTAATGCACATTACACACCCTGCACTGCAGGCAGCAGCCCCCCAAGGCACGGAAGCACAAGCTGTGCAGAAGGGGAAGTGAAGTCTCTGTCCTCTGCTGTCACCTCAGTTGTGTCCAGTTCCCCCTGCAGGGACTGGCTCTCTTGGCATGGCTCTGCTCTATCCTTTTTCAGCTGGGCAAAGCTTAGTGCCATGGTACTACCTTAAAATACAGATCTCCTGCTACAGACCAATTATTTGAGTGATGGCCAGAATGGAGGGATGCTGCCTTATAATTATCCAATGCAAACAAAAATCCCTTGATAAGCTTATTTTGAGGACTGTTGATACTTATCAGCTACATTTCCTCCAGCTGAGATTTGAGAATTTGTTTTAAGACATGAAACATACAAGGATTGTATTTCACTTCTACTACAACTATTTTTACTTTTAAGAAAGAATAGTAGTTAATGTGCCAAAAATGCCAACTAATCTTTACAAAATCTCTGGCTGCAAGTCAGGGTTATTAGCATTTCCCTCTAACAGGTAGAAAAGCTGAGGTACAGAAGGCCATATGAAGTACCAGCCCTGAATTAGCGCTGGGGCTCCAAATCAAAACAAACATCCTTGCCTCTATGGACAGCTGTGCCTCATTTCAGCCAGGGGAGGCAATACAGCTCTAAAAGAAGCATTTAAACTCCTTGCTACCTGTCCTTTCCTCTGTGCTGTTACTGGAAATACACCTGCCCCTCAAGCAAAATGCAGATTATGCCCCCAGTGGGACTCTGCCATTGCATGACTGGCACACTCCCAATCCCGTGTCTCTAGAGGGACTGAGGACATGGGAGGTTATGAACTGTTCTTGCAAAATGTGTCCATTCAGGGGCTGTGCAGTGATTCCTGTCACAGGCTTTGCTTCTTCTTTAGATATAAGGGGGCAATTTCAACCAACCATCAACTGCTCACAAGTAAAAGGCAAAGGCAATAAAAACAATAAAAACTTTACAGAGGTGATAAATCTCCAGTGCTTAAGGTCCCCATTCAAAAGAAATTCTTATTCAGTGACTTATATGTTTAAGTATTACAGAAGTTAATGAAGGCTCTATGAAGTGATGCTGGTGATTTGTTTGGAAGGCAGAAGCAGGGATACACATTTAGCCTAATTTTCCTTTAAAAAAAAAAATCAACCTTTCAGCATTTTGGGCAATGTTGAGTTCAACAAAAAACTGTGTTCAAGTATTGTGCCTTCAGAAAGGATCTCATGTGAGCAACAGCCTACAGAGCACCACAGAAGAAGTGGAATCTCTCTCTGAAATCCTCTACCCAGCTCTGTAAATGCTATACCCTGTTCTCAAGGCACATCAAATTCCATGGCAACCGGCGTGTATTTCCCCACACTGATGCTGAACCACAGCCTTTTGTTTGGAGTGCTAAATGCAAGTATTCTGAGATGCCCTTCAGAGGGTACCTCAGCAGCTGACCCGGTAATTTGTACACATTTCTCGTACTTGGTGCTTAAATTACAGAATGCTTTTATGTAAGAGCTTTCAACATGGATTAATACCCCAGGGTGGTGAGAAAACACAGCCAGCGATAGAGACACAACCTGGCTCTTATAGACAAGGACACAACCATTGCAGCATGTACACAGTGGAGAACATGCTCAAAAATCTTCTGCAGCATGTGGAGAACCTCCCATGAGAGTTCACACTTCTCAGTACTATAAGAGAGCTCAAACAAAAGCAGATGATGAAGCAGAGCAAAACACTCAGTGGTGCATCTCCAGACCTTAGGTACGGTGTATTTTGCCTCTTGCCAGGCAGAAGAGCCCTGGTGGGCCCCTCCCTTGAGGGGGACTGGCTATGTGTAGCACACCCTTAGATAAGCGGCGCGGTTCCACAAGAGCCCATCCTTCACCATTGCTTTGCGCTACAGGAGCATCAGAATACGCTCTCCGCCCCCCACTGCTCCCTACCTGGAAAACTCATCCCAGCTCTTCCGCTCCTCAAAGCTATGTCAACACGGACACCTGCCCCTGGCTCCCAGCAGTGTTTTATGGCCTGCGGGGCCGTCCCACCCCCGCCCCGCCCCGCCCCGCCCAGCCCAGCCCAGCCCAGCCCCGGCCCGGCCCGGCCCCACCCGTCCCTCACGCCCCGCAGCCCGAGCGCAGACCCCGGCATGGCCGCCGCTGCCCCTCACGGCGACCCCTCAGCAGCCGCTTCACGGCCCCGCCCCAGCCCCCGGGCCCGCTCCCGCCCTCCGCCCCGCCTCCTTATCGCCCGGCCGCAGCCGTCTCCCTTATCGCCGCTATCTGCCTTATCGCCCGCGGGCAGCGACACCGCCGCTCGCCCGGCCGCGCCCCGCCAGCGGCAGTCCGGCCCCGCTACGGCGGTGGGCGCACGCTGAGAGCCGGCCCAGGGCGGAGCAGGGCGGAGGGGAGCGGCGCCCGGCCCCGCCCGGCCCGGCCCAGCCCCGCCCCGCCCTGCGCGGGGCTTTGTTCCCCCGCATGCAGCCCCCGCCCGGGAGGCGGCCGTGCCTGCCCGCCCCGCGGAGCGCCCGGGAGGCGGCGCGGCGGGGGCGCCCCGGCGGCAGGCCCGCCCCGCGCGGTGCCCGCCGTCACTGCCGCGGGCGCTCGGGCCGCCGGCGCCTCCCCCGCCGCGGCGGCGGCCTGATGCGGCACCCGGCACCGCCCCGCCCGGCTTTTTCTCCCCTTCTCGCGGCGAGCCCTCCGCTCTGATATCTCCGGGAGCGAGGCGGGGGCGGTGACGCCCCGTGCCCGGAGCGCCGGCCATGGGGGGCGCGGCCCCCGGCGGCCCGGCGGCGGGCGGCAGGCGCTGAGTGCGGGCGCGGCGATGCCGATGCCGGGGGACGACGGGGCCGCGGCGGCCAGGCAGCCCCCGTCCGGCGAGGCGGCGGCACCGCGGGACGAGGAGCAGCAGGAGGAAGAAGGCGAGGAGGATCTTCGTGACGGCGGCGTCCCCTTCTTCGTCAACCGCGGCGGGCTGCCCGTGGATGAGCCCACCTGGGAGCGGATGTGGCGGCATGTGGGCAGGATCCACCCCGAGGGGGAGCGGGTGGCGCAGAGGATCCGGGGCGCCGCCGACCTGCCCAAGGTGAGACCCCACCACCCCACCCCGGGGCTGCTGCGGCGGCGCGGGGTCCCAGCGGAAGCGCCCGGAGCGGACCGTCCCCCGCCGGGCGGACGGAGGGAAGGGGGAAACGGCGGCATCCCGCTGGGAGGAGGCCTGCCTGTGCCCTTAGGAGGCCGGGAGCCCCGGCTCGGGAGCGGGCCCCGGGAAAAACGGGCCCCGGGACTGCTGTTGCTGGAAGCAAAGCCACACTTTAACTTGGAGTGCGAGAGGGCATCTGCGGGGCTCTGCCCTGTCTGGAGCGCCAGCAGCACCCTCTTCTTCTGCGGCCTTGCTGGAAAACGGACTTCAGGTAGCTAATGTGTGAGCAACCTGCAGGGCAAAGGGGGGGAATGGGCAGTGGCTAAAGAGAAAGACTGGATAAATGATGAAAAGATGAGGACAGCTAAATTTAGAAGAGCCCAAATACCGGAGGTGGGGGATTGAGACAGACGGAGGTGAGACTTTGCACATGAAGAAATTTGGTTTGGGTACAGTTTCCCACACCAAAAGGCATTCTGGAATAGAACTGTGTCTGTCAGAAAAGACTTTTGATGCCAAACATTTTAAGAGGAGTTAGCAAACGCTTGCAGAGGTTATTGTTGGTATAGGGTCAGGTATGATTTCCAAGCATGCTCCTGGCCTTGTTGCAAAGAACTCTATGAAAAGAGGAACCACTGACCATTTCACTGAGCCTTGTACCATACTGAAATATTTCAGTGTGAATTCTTGTGATTGTTGCTATCTGTATTGCATCTCAGCTGGAGAAAAATCTCTCCCTTTTATTGGCATACTGTGAACAAAAGACACTGCAAACATTTGGTGTGTCACTCCATTGGCGGGTGATAAGAGTATTCCCATCACTCTAATAGGGGAAATTCAGATACAAAAAGGTGATGCTTTTTAATCTCAGGCTTTTTTAGCAAGGACTTACCTCCTTGGGAAGGTAATTTGAAGTATGGAAGAACATGCTATTATATACTACACAGACAATCCGTACTGCTTTCCATGAGGAATTCTGGAGAAGCATGTGATGCAACATCCTTTGTGCAGTAGAGTCAGAGGCATCAGTGGCAGCAGCTGGAACAAATCCTGAGTCCTGATTACAGTCCCTATTCTAACTCCATTAGACTTTTCCTTCCTTTTCAGATTTCCTTCCTTTCCTGTGACTTTGTCCTGAGCCTAGGTGAAGGCTGAAAACATGTTTCAGATCGGTCAGAACACACACTACCTAATTTCCTGACCATAAGGATTGATTTGGTCAAAAATGGTGAAGGAAATGGAAGAAAGAAGGTGACAAACAAGACTCCAGTGAATGATGGGTGGGGAAATACAGTGTTCAGTCCCTTGTTTTGGTCTTATGTGAAGAAGTTCCCCTGTTCTCACTTTAGACTCTTCATCCAAGAGGGTTACATTTAGGGGACACCAGTGGTCTGCAGTCTTGTGGTAAGAGGCAAATTTGGGCTGTTTTGTTTTGAGGATTGTTGGGTTTTGGGTTGTTGAGGGGTTTTTTGCATCTGCTTGCACCCCTGGGAAATGGATCTATAAACTGTATTCAGCACTCTGCCACCTGAGATGCCATTCCCAAGCTCACTCAGCACATACAGCTGGGAGGATACTGGAATTCAGGAAACCACAAGGATGAGCTCTGTTTCCTTAGCTCCTTCTCCCCTTCAGGGATGTGTTTTTTTCTTTGAGGGGTGCTTATGGCTACTTGTCTCCGTGCCATCAAGTTTCTTTGAAAGGCTGGTGCAACAGATGAGAATCAGGGCAGTAAGTGTACTCTGCAAGGCTAGATCCTTTGAAAAGCCAGGTTCTCTCCATGTGCTGGAGGGTCAATAGTCCTTTTTAAGTGTTGGGAATGGCACAGTGACTTACCTACTCCAAAATTTTGGCCATGGATCGTAGCCAGCATTGGTTGTTGGGGGAAACAGCTCTCAAAAAAGCTGTCAATAAACTAAAATACTACCAAATGATGACTGGAGGAGGCTGTGATTAGACACATATTTACAGATCAGCTTCAGGGGCTGTGTCTCTCACTGGAGTCTGAGAGCTCAGAGAGCTCCTCTAGTTTCTATCTCCTTTCAGTAGACTTGGGGTCAATGCCACTCTCCTGTAGGTTGTGTTCTTTCCAGCAACAGGGTGGGGTATTGCCTGCTTCAAGCTGCAACCATCTAATGGGTCCAAGCTGGAAGTACAAAGTGATGTGTGCTTGGCTCATAAAGAAATCATGGATTTTAAATGAGATGGTTATGAGGGCAAAGACAGGAAGAGTTGCATCTAATGGATTCAGAACAAGAGAGCCAGAAAAAATAATCTGTTTTTTTCAGTCAGGCTCTCGACCAAGGCTGATACTGCTCCTGTGTTATTTGCAGAAGGAAGAGTAGGGAGGAGCTTGGATACACATGAGTACCATAAAAGAAACTGTTGCTAAACCAGGCTGGCCAGAAGAGCATCTCTGTGATACCGATAAGGGTGGAGCTTTGCCTGAGCCTCGCTCCCATGTGCCTTTCCTCACATACAGCATGGCACACTTGCATATGAAAATCTTGGTTGTTCTTAGAATCCCCTTTCTAAAAGCAGAGTGCCAGTCCCATGCATATAGACAGCCTGCCAGGGTGCATGAACCTAGGAGTGGGGTGATGCAGCTACTCCACACAAGTGACGAGGGATCAAGGGTGTGTTCATTTGGTCTGCTAAGCCTGGCAGAGGTTATATACTTTGGGAAATCTGGGCTCTCTTCAGCTTTCATAATAGCTAAAGGGAAGTCAAAATAGATCTGATTGCCTATTTTTTCTGTTATAAATAAATTCTCTCTGCTTTCTGAAGGACTGTGAAAGCTAACTAATATTTATAGCTCTTTGGAGATATGCCCTGGATGATGCTGGGGAAGAAAAAAGTATAAGGATCTCTTTTCCTGTCAGTGTGGAATTGAGGGATGGAGAACTTATTCCTCTACTTCTGCTTCTATTGTCCTATTAAAATGCTATAGACCTGATGCAAAAAGAAACTGTAGCCCAGTCTGGGCTGCAGGCCCAGATCTGAGAGAGAGCACAGTGTACTTTCATCAGTTTAATTACTTGAGGTGCAGGAGGCTCTTCCACATTAACTAGTCCCCTGCTGAACTGATTGCCTGCCATTATGCTGTCTCAGTGTTGTGCAGTCCTTTGAGGAAAAAGAGATCGGGGGGTCTGTACTAGTAAAGGGAGGAGGAACTACCCAGAATCATTAGTCTCTGCTGTCAACATGTACTTAATGTCTGTCTCCACTGAGAAGCATTAAAGTCTCCATGCTGAAGAAAAAAAAGCAAAATTAAATAGTCAGCCTGCCCTGATTGTTACCTCTTTCGTTGTTTCTGCCTGGAAATCATTTCCTATGACTCAGTGTGTCAGCTCACAGCATCCAAACTGACTCAGCTCAGGCACTACCAGAGATGGCTCCATTCCTGTGCCACTCTCTGGAGCCTTCCCTGCTCCTGCTGCAGCTGAACAAACCCAGTTTCACATCTGCTCCCACCGTGCCTGTGCTGCCCCTGCGAGTGAGGCAGCCGGTGCCTCTGTGATGTGAGAGGCAGCACCTCAAGGTTTAGAGGTCTCTGGTCCTTGTACCGTGGGGGAGCACAAGCAGAGTGCAAGCATGTGGCCAGCCAGGAAAGGGAACTGATCTGGCTGAAAGCTACCCATGCTTGCTGGCTCAGCTTTCAACTGCTCCAGGTGCCTGACCTGGTTCACCAGTCACTTGTACCAACACACAGGAGAGAAGAAAGAGGTGTATGGAAATGAGTGGCCACAGAAATACATGTGAAGGCTGCACTAAGCAGTACCATTGGCTATGAAACCATGTCCAGCAGAGGCAGTTGTGCACAGCAGAGTGGAAGGCTCAAAGGAAGAACTAGCTCTGACTCACTCTTTCATAGCTGTGGATAGGCCAGCTCTGGGGGAAGTCTGAGGAGGAACTGAAATGTTAAAACTGAGAAAAGATGCAGTCTGATATTAGCAAGGTGCATACAAGGCATGAGCTATCTTTCAGAGAGAAAATATTGGGCTGTTTCTCCAAGCCTATCAGTCATCCCAAACTTGTGTCTTCTTTTTATTTGTCCTGTGGAACAGGTCCCTTCTCTTTCCTTAGAAAGGCTGTGTTCTGGGAATGAGATTTTCTCAGCTGCTGACAACACTATGGTTATCCCATGCAGAGCAAATGGTGAAAATGGTGAGGAAAATCTGACTGGACCCATAAGGCTGAGGCCTCAGAATGGGACAGCAGTCTGAAAGGTGAACATCCAGAAGTCATTCTCTGACCATGTAATTCAAAACACCAGACACTGCAGGGCAGGGAGTCATGCTGTCAAGCCTGTGTCCTAGTCAGTGCCATCTCATCTGAAATGCCAGGAAGCAGTGAAGGACCTTTCTACCCTTGCTTGCAGGACTGTTCCACCCTCTGGTGATAGTGGAAAACTCATTGTCCGTTTTTGCCTCTTGCTTTTATTTTTGTTTTGTGCCTTTCAGTTTCAATACTCAAATGAGGCTGCGCTCCCTCAGATGATTGCTTTCCTGTCTTGTATCCTGCCTTGTCAGTCAATTCTATCTATTTTGTCCAATGTAACATTGCATAAATGCAAGACCTTTTCACATAGTTTCTCTTGCAGCTCTGTGGTGATGCCTCATTCTGAATCCCTTCCCAATTTCCATTGTGGAAATAGAGGAATGTCTATTGTGTGGTCACTTCGGGCAGCAAAAAGGGTCTGGTTTCAGAGGAACATGCTCCCTATAGCTATGTGCCACTGAGTTCAGCAAGAAGCTGGAGAGGTTTGGAATGAGTGATTTATGTTCTGTTCCTCATTTCAGATTCCCATACCAAGTGTGCCTGTGTTCCAGCCGTCCACCCCCATCCCTGAGCGCCTGGAAGCTGTGCAGCGCTACATCAGGGAGCTTCAGTATCCTTTGCTGTTACCTTGCTCACTGGTGGGATAATCCAGAAGAAAGAGCAAGAGGACTTTCTTTCCCTGTGACAAACAGAAAAGCTCCTCCTGTTGTAGCTGGAGGAGAACTGAAACTTGTTCCCTGAAAAAAGAAAGCTGGACTTGGGATAATGTTTTCTTTTGCTGCTCCACTTCTTTTCTTTTTCTGCCCAAGTTACCTTCTGGTTCACTGCATGTAACAAATCAGCATGTTGTCAAAGACCTTTCCCCACTACCCACTCTTCTAGGTCAGTGGCTTTACAGTGGTATTTCATTAAAAACACACATATCTGAGATCCTGACAGCCAAGTGTCAGATGTACTGCAAACTGCATCACCTCATTGTTAAGGTGTGGGTGAGTTGTGGTGATGGGCAAACCTTCTCAGGTCATCCTACTCAATCACTCTTCTCTGTCTAAACAACACTCAGCCACCCTGATTTTATGCATCTGTGATATGTTGCCCCTTTATATGCAGAGCTGCCTGTGTGGCTGTGTTCTGGGAATGAGATTTCTCCATTCCTGTTGTGCTGGAGAGCAGGTATATGCCATGCAAACACAGTCTAATCTCACTGATAAGATACAGATCTATCTCTGGCTTCAGCCCTAATTCAAGGTAAGAAGGCTGACCTTTTGGCATCTCTCACCCATCCAGGGTGGTTGTGCTCTGGATTGGATCCCAGTCAATCTTAGAATAAGGTACCATGAATGTTTCATTGCTCCATGTATTATGTGCAGATTGGAGCAGGAAGAGATTTATCAAACTGTTCTGCCCTGGTAACTGGAAAGCTGAGCAGAGCGTGTGCTGTAAGCATAAACCTTTGGGAATTGGAGTGGAAACCCGTGTGTGGGTATGAGGAAGAGAAGAATTGACAAGGAAATACAGTGGAAATAAAGAGGATGTGTAAGTGGGGAAATGCAGAAAAGTGAGGTAGGGATTTTCTTGTGTGCTGCTACATTTGTGGGATCATGACTCTGCTGTGAGAATAGTAAATAACATGAACGTCTTTCAGACAAGTTTTCTTCAAACTCTACTTTCCGAGCTGCCAAGCCCTTAACTTCTTGCTTCCAGGTACAATCACACTGGGACACAATTCTTTGAGATTAAGAAGAGCAGACCTCTGACTGGGTAAGTGCTGGCAGCCTCTAGAGCATTTAATCCTTTCTTTGTCGTTTGAGCCCTGCTATACACACTGCTTTTTCTCCATCCCCTGCCCAAGGTCTAGTGGCACTTAGGGCTTTTATTACTGCAGCTGCATCCTGCTTAGGGTAACTTTATTGTCTGTTGCCTGGGGCATAGCTGTGTCTGGTCTTCCTCAAGAGTAGAGTTTTTTGTCATGAATCAGTAAATCGAGTAGGCCAAAAATAATGTATTGCAAAAATGTGCATATTCTGCCTGCTTCTAATTGGAATGTAACTATATGAACTTCTGGGGGATTCTGAAATTAGGTCCGACTCTACAAAAACTTTGTTAAAGCCAAGTATCTTTACAGGTCTGATTTCATAGCTCCTGTGAGTGCTTTTGCAGAATCTAGGCTCACTAAGCTTTTGGTGACTCATACTTGGAATGAGAAAGGGTATTCTCCTCGTTGAAGATTTTGGGAACTGCTGTGCCCCAGAAGTTCCTGGCAATAAGCACCTGATGTTCATTGACTCTCTTGAAGAGCATATGGAGAATCTCCCAAGACTGACTTACTATTGGTCTAGTCCACAGATTTATGTGGGTTTAGATGCCTTGTTTTGTAATCAGTCCAATGTCTCCTCCATGGTACTCACTGAATAGAGACTAGGGTTAATGCCAGCGAAGAAGGCCTTATTGTCCTTGAGCCTCGTGTGGCAAACACTTTGAGGGTTCTACTTGTGGAGACATTGGTGCTGTGGTCTCCCTGAGAACCCAGGTTGGCCAGTAAGTAGTTTTGCTGCAACTCACTGAAGTGAATTCCTTGGAAGTAACAACAGCATGTGGCAGAGACCTGGTTTGGATTTAATATCTTCTTAAAGAAGATACTTCGTTCTGTTCCCTATCCTCTGTGGACCACCCTCTCTCCTGGAAACCTACCTATAGTACAAAAGGGCTGAACTGGCCACAGTGCATAGCACAAGCCCTAACTGTCCTCATCTTTCCCTTGTCCTACTCTGCAGGCTGATGGACCTGGCCAAAGAAATGACCAAAGAGGCCCTGCCAATAAAATGCCTGGAAGCTGTGATCCTGGGAATGTATCCTTTCCTCTTGGAGTTGTGCATGTCTGCCCATCCTTGTGTTTTTGCCTCTGCTCTCTTGCTTGTGATGCTTTGAGGATGGTGATAATATTGTCACCAAGCCTCACATTCCTTTTTTTTTTCCTCCCCAGTTCTCCCACAAAAGACCACCAATGAAATCCAAAACCAAGCAATTCTCTAAAGTATCAGAACAACTTTGGAGTTGCTCCTCCTTCACCAAGAAGGGTGGTGCTGCTCTGGTCAGCCATATAAGATTATAAAAGACAAAAGAGGATCTAAAGAGGAGCAAAAACACTAGCTAGAGTTAGGTCAGGAAATCCTTTGTGGATAGCATCGTTCCCTTACTGCCTGTATGTGTTCTGCATTAAAATAACTTACGGATCCTCCCCAACTTCTAATTATGGTGTATGTCACTTACTAGCTTAGGCAATACCTTTATTAGATCTAGATGTGTATTATCTTTAAGTACACATCTTTCCTAGCTATCTTCCAGATTTAGTTTGTAGTACTTGGGCTGTGGGTTCTTCATGCACCTGGAGGGGCAGAGATGGTGAGAGAATGGTTCAAAAGTAGAAGTTGGTGAGTTTTTATCCTGAAGGCGTATGAAACAGTAGCTAGTGAAACAGATTAAAACACACCGAGGAATAATGCTGCAGTGTTAACAGTTTGGGAGCTAGGGAATACAGTACACTTAAGGTGCTAGCATTGCAACTTCTGCATCAAAATTAACTTCTCTTTGTTGACTGTCTCCTTGAAGAGGCCAAGTCTGTTTTCTCCATAACCCAGATGAAAGTAGGGCAGCTTGCAATGAGCCGGGCTCTTGACCTGGAGAACAAATCCTGTCTATGTGATGCCTGAATCAATGGGGAATCTGCTAAGCAGGCTGGGAGGGTCTGGAGCAGGTAGGACGTGTCTTGTCAGGAAACCGTTACCACCAGTTATTTCCTGAATAATGGCTGCTGTCAGTTACCTCACCAACAACATGACCACACTGGACCGTTTCCCCATCAGCTTCAAAACCCACTTCTCAGGGAACTACTTCCGACACATTGTGCTGGGGGTGAACTTTGGCGGCCGCTATGGGGCACTGGGCATCAGCCGCCGCGAGGAGCTGATGTACAAAGCGCCTGTCTTCCGCACACTGAGCGAACTCATCTTTGACTTCGAGGAGGCCTATCGCCGCTGCTGGCACACGCTGAAAAAGGTGAAGCTGGGCCACTGCGTGTCCCATGACCCACACAGTGTGGAGCAGATTGAGTGGAAGCGCTCCATCCTGGATCTGGACAAGCTAACACGGGAAGACTTTCGCAAAGAGCTCGAGAGACACGCCCGTGATATGAGGCTGAAGGTAAGCAGCGAGGATGGAGTAACTCACTGCTACATCCACTGCCTTGCCTGGCTGCTTGGTGTACTGGGGGAATGCAGTGACAGAAAACTTTCTACTTCTAGATGTGTGGAGTAGAAAGTGAATTGGAGGCTGGGGCCTCTTTCTTACTGAACACCACCCACTTTATACAGGCTGGTCCCCTAACGGATGTTTGTGCAGTGCTGCACCTGTTGTAAGTTTGGACTGTATACAGTCCTTGGAGCCATAGCTGTCACTGTAACTTGTTTTTTCTGGCTTTTGCATTTTTGATGCACTTGCCTTGCCTTTTTGTCTTTTTTTTTTTTACACATATAATAAATCATGGTTAGGTTTTGTAGGTTTTGTTATTACTCACATTAAGAGCTCACACAGCTCTTAATTTTATTTTTCTGGCAGATTGGGAAAGGAACTGGACCGCCATCTCCCACCAAGGACAGAAAGAAAGATGTCTCCTCCCCACAAAGAGGTCAGGCCAGCCCCCATCGGCGAAACAGCCGTGGGGACCGACGGTGAGTGAGGCTGCTGGGCAGGACACCTATCTAGACCATCTGTTTTACTCAGACTCCACCTTGCCGTTGGGTTTTGTATCCTTCTTTTGTCCTACTGGGTTTCTTTAGAACAGTGGATATTTCTCTGACCTGCAGTAGCATTCTTCCCTAGTCAGTACCATTGTGAGTTTATCATTGCTTAGGGATTTGAGGGGGCAGCTGGGGTTTTTTGCTTGCTTGTTTTGGCAGGGAGGAGGAGGCAGCTCAAACAGACAGTGATGCTGGTAGCTGACTTTTAACCTTATGCATGGGTCTGAGCTCTGGTGTCTCACAGACCTGTGCCTCAAGAGATTCCAAAAATTATTCTGCTGTCAACAAGATTGTTTTCCTGATAATAACCTGGGGTTCCAGAGTGGACCTCCTACTTCCTAACTTGCATTCTGTTCTGTTGAGATCATTGGGAGAATTACTGGAGGCTGCAGAATAATCCTGTCCTCAGTAGTGCAGGATCAGTATGAAGCTCTGTACCTTTTCCTGTGCTGCCATCTCTATGTGCAGCATCACCTGACAAAAAACAGTTTCTGAAGAGCTGTTACCTTCTTTGCTCACAGGCCATCTGGTGAGAAGAAGCCTGCCGATCCCAAAGCCATGCCAGACCTCAATGGGTACCAGATCCGGGTATGAAGAGAGCTGTGCCTTGTGTGCCTGCCTCCACGGACTTCTTGCTGGCCACAGTTGGGACCTGGATCCACCTGCAGTGATTCTGACAAATGGAACAGGGGAGTGGGAGCAAAAGAGACTGCTGATTTTCCCAGGTGCTTACTAGTGGGCCAGTCCCAGAGCTGGATCCCATGGGTCCCAGAGGATTCGCCTGCCTGTTTCTGGGAGAGGTGACCATCTTAATTCACTTAAGTATTTTTAAAAAAAAAAAGGGAAAAAAGAAAAAAATATGTACATTAGTGGGAGTTCACTTCAGGAAGAATATTAAGTGAGTGGGGTCAGTGGCCTTGCTATCTTTACCTTGACAGCAAGTAGATGGAGCATCTTGTCAACAGTACTTCTTCCCTGTGTGCAGTTTTCAACCCCTGCAAGGCCTGCAGGGCTGAGGGAGAAGTGATGCTGGAACAGGATGACCCCTGAATCTTGTACAAAAACTCCTGGTTTTGTCATTATGAACACTTTGTTTATCATTGCTCTTGTGAGAGTAGGTCTGAATTTGCTCAGCCTGATTTATTGACCATACAAATTCTTCTTATCCAGAAAAAACACATCTTGTATGTTTAGTCCTGCCTATTTCAAAGTATTTCATTGTCTCTGAGGAGGTAGACAGTGGAATGCTAGTGAACTGTTGCTGTAGGCCCTTTGGTGGTTGAGTGGATCAGGATATGCCTATACCACTGCTACATGAAAACAGGCATAGAGAGCTCAATTGTTCTAGCAATGGAGATGGGGCAAGTGGGGGCTGGTGGAGAACCTGAACTGCACATCATCTGTTCATCAGCCTTCTCTCTACTAACTTCTGGTGGCTGCTACTCAGAAAGCTTGTGGCAGGCACTTCAGTCACTGAGGTACGAGTTTTAAGAGTAAAAAGTTAAAGAAGGATGTAATAATGTGAACAGGTTTTACAAGCATTTTTTCCTTTCCACAAGGCTCTTGCTCCTTCCTCCCTGTTGTGTTAGTGCCAGAGTTGCATACACCTGTTTGTGAGAAAGTCTACTCAAGGAAATTGCAGCTGCTTTCCTGACAGCTCACCTTGGAGCCTCCTGAAAGCAGTTTCCCACCCCAGTGCCAGAGCTGTGCTTGTGTTCGGGCTCTTTGGATAGCTGCAGGATGTAATAGCACCACTTATACTAACCTTTCCCAAAGGGCTGGGCTGGGCCTTTCTGCCACTTGTGGCCTTACTTCCTTTGCTTCTTTTGGGGGAGTGTTGTACTACTGATTCAGCAGTGTAATGCTTGTCAGAAATCTGGAGTATTGTCAGGATCTCTCTGTCTGAGGCCTAGGCCATGGGAACAGTGGGATTTCCAGAAGTCAGAACAGCATGGTCTTAAAGTGATTTGGATGCATGGATCTGGGGGATGCATAAACTGAGCTTGGGAGTGGGAGTATCCTGGAGAGAAACAGTCTTGTTTTATCACAGCACTGACAAGGAGCTACACTTTCTGAAATACCACACATTTAATTTTGTTAGAACTGAGCTTATTCTTTCCTTTTTTGATTTGTTAGAAACATGATGGAGCTTAGCTCTACTAGTTTTTTTGTCACAGTATTCCTGTGCCACATCCTCATAATAAGTAGAGCTATTCTGGTGGCGGAGAATGGGTTCTTAACCCCAAACAAATCAGCTCTTCTGCCTAGTTAAAGCAGTTAATCCTCAAAGCACCACCCACAAGCGATTTAACTCAGACCTTACAGGTTCCTAATTGTCCATCCTTAACTGTGATGTAACTTGCAAGACGTATCCATACCACTGCAGTCAGTCCTTCCAGTCTCCCTTTGTAGTCTGTACTTTTGTGCTGTACAAACAAGAGGAAAATCTGTAAGAAGGTGGCAGAACTTGCTGCTGAGCCAAGAGAAGGTTAATCCAGAAGAGGATGCCAGTTTCCACAGTACAGTGCAACACCTGTCCACTCCCTTATATTCCAGCTACATGCAACAACTGAAGTTAACTGCAGCAGGAGCCAAGCACCCATTTGAACGTGTCCTCTGGTCATTTTTGTGTGGCTGTAAATTAACATGTTTAGTGTGTGGATGCTAACAATGATGCAGCCTTTACAGCTAACATCATTGTTAGCATCCAGACACTAAATATGTCAAAAGCTACCTGTAAATAATATGGGCCACTTGGAAGCCACAAACTGCCTTTGCATAATGTTTACTATGCAGCGGACTGAAAGTTCAGATGCCACTGTGAATCATATGATAAATACAAGCAGCAGTCAGCAAGGGGAAACTGACTGTCAGGTTTTATTATAAAGTGGATGAAATCCAGAATTTAAAGACAATTATAAAAGATGCCTAGAATGCATCTTAACTATGACTGTGTTTCTTCAATTGGTTAGTTAATTCAGAGTAACTGGAGAGCTCTTGAGAGTAATTAGTCATTTAATACAGAGAACATTGAGCTTTTTTAGACAGAAAGGAGAAATGTGGGGGTGAGAGGAAGACTGCAACAGATGAGACAAGTGAGGGGTCAGCTGCAAGTTAATGATGCTATCTTGAGAGCAGGGCAACAGGGGTGTTCAGCAGCGTTAGATCACCAAGGAAGAATGGCTTAAAACAAAATGCTTTGTTTGACTTTGTAATTAAGAGCTTTCCTGCAGGATGCAACTGAGGCCAATAGCTTAGAAAAAGCTATTAGCTTAGAAAAAGCAAAGGAAATGGATGTTTAAGATATGAATGACAGGTAGAGTTCAGGGTCTCTTAATCCTCAGCTGCAGCTAGACAAGAACATCCTCTTTCAAGATCTACTTGCACAATTATATATGTTACGAAGTATTTCATTCTTTGCTTGTATCTAATGTTGATTAACTCCTCAAGATGGATACAGGAGCAGACAGGGTTACCATTTCAAGCCTTCTACTGTGTTTCTCTGTGTAGAATTCCTGCTCCTTACTGTTTCTGTATCTCCAGTTCAGGAGATGGTACAAGAAACTGGAAAAGGACCATAGAGTTCTCCCCTTCTTGCTCTTGCTCCCCCCATCTTTGTAACAGGATGAATCACTTCAATACAAAGCTTTGCTTCCTTCCTAACAAACAAAACCACATCCTTCCATGACAGAGAGAATTAATGCAATCTAGCTTTATGCTGTAAGAAAGCTGAGGGTACAGTGCAAGACAAAGTTTGGCACTTCGACTTCTTTCCTCCCCCACCTACTTGGTCTGGTTTCTGGTCTGTCTGCCTTTAACCATAAGGAAGAAAGGCTGGTGATGAGAGTCTTTTTCACTTCTGCAGGCTTTAGAGCTACACAGAAGGAATGATAATGTCATACTCCTTTAGTGCCTGCAGAACAAGGAAGATGGATCTCAAGGAGTCCTATTAATTTTTTAATGTTAAATATTAATAGGGTCGCTCATGTAGCTCTGTGATCTAAATTTCACTGTTCAGTAGGTTTCACACGATATCTGTTCTGCAGTACAAGTCCTGTGAACTCTGTGGAAAGGAACTGTGTTTGTACACTAGGAATGGACAGACACTGCCTGCATTGTATGTGAAGCTGAGGTGAGCTTTGAAAGACTTCAACAAATGCTGACCTATTACTGGCAAAACTATTCTAAATGTAATGCAAACCTTGAAATAAGAGCCCCTCTTTATGCTTTTATGTAGACAAGTCCCTTGATACCTGGCCAACTGCAATTTTTTTAATGGACAGATTCATTAATTGAGCAAAACTTTCTGCTACAGCATCACTCTGATATAAACTTTGTATATTAAAGAGCAGGGTTGGGTGTCCATCAGTCTGTGACATACTAACTTTTTTTTTTTTTACTGGTAGAAGCTAAAGGAGTCTTTAGGAAATTGGTGTGCGTTAGCAAGTGTTTTAGGTGGGAGTGGAGTGCTTTTTTTCAGTTACTATTTTACCTGTGGGCCAGGGTATGGGTCAGTACCATTTCCTTGGATCTATCAGAATAAATGAATCCAGAACTGTAGTTGAAACATAGTTTCTGTTCACATAATAGTTGTGTTGCTGTTTTCAAATCTGCTTAACAGGATGAATTTTCTTTTAAGTATTTCAGGTGAAAGCCTTAATCAGGTGCCTGCCCCCTAAGGCAGATTCAGGTGTGGTGTGGTGTGGTATAGACTGGAATATGACTGTCCTTAAAATTTCAGAGTTTAAGAAACCATAATGAACAGAAGAAAGCTCCTGTTAGCCAAAGGGCAAGAGTCTGGATTAGACTGGCTTGACCTTGTTCCAGTGGCTCTGGCTAGTCACTTCAGGTGGTTGCTTTAGCTACCTGCTTCTTCTGAGTGAAGTATTTCAAGTGGTCCTGATGATCAAACTGTAGGTATAGGCAGGGGGTGTCTCAGGTGTATGGTGTGTGCAAGTCTGGCTGAAATAACACCACCCATCCCAGTGGCCTTGCACTGTTGTCCTGACAACATTTAGACCTGCATTATGGATTTATAACTTTACTTAACAAAGCAAGTGCTATTCTGGCTTGATGTTTGCTCTCCCAGAGAAAGGTGGAGATGGCCCCTCTACAGCCAAGCTGAACTCCTTAAGGAATTTAATATTTTTGTGTGTCTTCTGAGCAGGTGTTTACTTGTATCACAGCCATTCTCCTTCAGTGGTGCCCTGGCCCTTTCTGCTCCAGAGCAACGCAGTTTAGGCTCAGAAGGCTCCTGAATCCCCCATAATCTCTGCAGAGCAGAGTCTCCCTCCAGGTCAGGGCTGAGATGGTGCTAGTGGGACCAGAGTGGTCCCCTTCCATGCACACCAGTATTCCACTCCAGCACCGACAGGGTGCTGCAAAACCATTTACATCTTTATCACTGGTACAGCTCAGAACTAAGAAATTGAAAGTTTCTTTCTTTAAGAACAGTATCATGTGTGTCTTTTTGTAATTAATCAGTGTGGTTCTGTGTTCTTATGTAGCCAACACAGAATTTTTATTTAGATTTAGGTTTTTACTGCACTTCCCATGGCCTTCATGTTGACACTTCTTCCAGCTTCCTTTGACACTTAGACAATAAAATTCCCTCTGTACTGCTCTCAGCTTGTGCAGAGAAAACAAGTTGTCTGTACTGTCCTTCTTTTTGCTTTAAACCTTCCCATTACATGTCAGCAGGAAGTCAAAGCCTTGAGTGATGGTATCAGGCAAATAATGTAAAGATGTCCTTTACTTGGTACACTAGTGGACATGGAAGAACCCTCATCCTCCTTTAATCATCTGAATAGGTGAGTATGTCTGTGCACACAGAGGCAGTTGCCAGAGTAAGTATGTATGTGGCTGTTTAGCAAAGAAATTCAAGTTTTCCCTCTTGAACTGCCATCAGTCAGGCTGGATGGCAAAAAAAAATCAGCGCAGGCAGCATGAAAAATTTCACTCTTCCAATACTGTACCAAACAATACTGTAAGGGTTAATACAAACCTCTTCTTGCACTGCTCAACTTGTCTATGTACAATTCAGTCTCCCTTCCTGGCCTGAAAAGCAGTTCTCCTCAAAGTCTGCTTAGTGACCTTCCAGACTAATGACCTCACCAGGACTGCTCAAGACAAATGCTGGGTTAATAAAGGACAGTCAGCTGCAAGATTCAGTGCAAGGATCCCCAGCAAGGGGATCCAACTTTATTCAGGCTATCATCTTTCAGGCATAACATACCCCTTCTCTCTAGGGAAATGAGTAAGAGCTGGGACCAGGGCCAGTATGTAGGCAAGCCTACAGTGTGTATAGGAAAGGAATAAGCATTCTCTGACCTGTTATTCCAAAGAGAAAGGCACATGCAATAGTCCATCTTAGCCAAGTTAATTATATGAACTGCTTCTGCCCTGAGGGAAAGCAATTGCACAGTTCTAAGCATCTACTTCAGACGCTTGCTTGAAAACATCCTCTGCTCCATGCCTTACAGATTTTGGTTTAAATCAGGTAACGCCTATATCCCCTATGGATGTATAGATCAGGGTGGAGTGAGAACAGTGAAGCAGCCACAGACTTTCTGCTCCCTCTTACATCAGGCTTTTCCCCTGTGACTGGTTGTCCCTGCAGTTTTAGTTTTCAAGTAAATTAGAGATTATGCTGCTTGGACCTTAAGTGGAAAATCTTCATTGGGGGAAGGATAAACAATATGTTGAAGCAGAAAATAAATTATAAACCCCAAGAAACAAAAAAACCACACCCTGTCAGTTTTTACACTGAGAGGCCCAAGACTTAAGGTTCTCACATGTCTAAAAGCACACAGAAATTCATTCATGAGAGAGTGAGACTGAGCCTTAAGAGCACCATTCATGCAGCAACTGCAGGATTATGACAGGCAAAGGCATATGACATGCTGTGGATAGCAGGCCATTACAGAATTAAGTTAACCAGGTTCGTTTTCCTGGATTATATTTTTATTTTGGCAAAGAGGGAGTGCTATCTTCTCTCTAACCTCATTTTAAGGGAGGAAAGGAGGAGAGAAATAACTACAGAATAAATACTGCATTCATCTACTCCCAGTACAAGAGCAGCTCCAGGCACTGGCCAATAACCAAATATATAGAATAAATATAAGGCTTTGCATCCAGAAAGAAAATTACAAAAAACTGAATAAAATTGCTAAGGTTTGAAGCCAAGGGTTTTTTGGGGTTTTGTTTTTTGGTGGTTTTTTGGTCTTTGGTTTGGTGGGGGTTTTTTTTGTTCTTTTTCTGGTGTATAGAAATTAAAGACGGGATGGAACAAATACATCTTTTGTTGTAGCATAAGCCAGTGTCTAGCTTAGTCCTCCCATCTGCCAGACTTGGACCTTGAAAGCTGCTGTGTTTGTCTTATCAAAGTTATAAAAAAAATTCCAGCTATTATACAAGAGTACAGAATGTACAGTCTAAATCTGAAAGAAAATAAATAAATTTTTAAATAAATAAAAAGAAAAATATCTTCAAGACTAGAATGACATTTTCAGTGGAAGCAGGAGGTCAACTTGCCTTGACAGGAGATGCCAAACATTTACAGCTGACAAAAGGAGTTAGAGGCATGCCAGCTGTTTAATCTGTCATCCTGGTTATCGTTGTAACAGGTGAGTTCCCTTCAGAAACTCAGTATCACAGTCAGAAACACAATGGAGAATATTCAATTCAGCTTGTGCATTTCAACATGACAGTGCTACGGGAAGCACTACAGGCCAGGCAGCTACAGTCTGGTAAGAAGCAGGTCACAGCCAGCAATTCAATTAGTCTGCACAACAGGAAGCCTGAAAGGAGATGGTATCCCACTGAGGCTTGTGTGCTCCCCCTTGAGGTAAGCAACAAAAGGGCTCATTCGGATGACCCATGGATATGTCTGCAAATATCTAAACAGTACATGCACTGAACGTTCAATACTGAGGTGGTGGCATTGGGAGCAGTTATTGGACTGCAGCAACACCCTGCTTTGCAGACTGTTTGCCAACACCATCATCATGGTTAGGAGCAGGATCATACCTTGATCCGCTGACATGCTGAACTTACGACCTCCTGGAGACTCCTCAGAGCAGACAAACTAAGGTCAAGTATATTTCAGAGCTCTGCCTCCACAAAGCAGGTGGCGTACAGAGCACTAACAATAAATCTGAAACTCTGGTTTTGTTGTTTTATATAACAAGTCTTACTCCCATCTATGTGTTGGTTCCAGAACTCCCAATCCCCTCACTTAATTTTTCAGAGGTGAGGAAACCCACTATCTTACATCTTGACACCATGTATATGTTGCATTTATAATAACACTTAGCCCTAGAGAATTGCACCCATGACTTTTAACTGAAGAAATACAGCTGCAGAAAAAATAAACATCAGTAACTCAGAAAGATAACTGGATAGAGTAGTCATGGGAAAACAGCTGCTGGAGAGATAGCTCATAAGAAAAAGGCATGGAGAAAGAAGACCTCAAACAGCAGCCAAGTTTCATTTATTACAAAGAGGAAACAAGACAGAGCAATTATATTGTTTACCACTCCTCCCATCTCATGTAATTGTGAAAACTGATTATGAAGGGCAACCTCCTGGAGCAATGAACTTAAAACTGAGAAAATGAAGGAAGTCCAACTTCTATCTAAATAGAATAACTAAATACAGCCTAGCAGCTGTGGTGCAAATTAAACTGTTTTTTAGTAAAGATACTTAGCCAAATACTTGATTGTCTCAACAGCTGCATGCTCCTGCAGCTTAGGAGGCTGCTAAGAGGGAATGTACACACACTGCCAGCAGTCTCTGGCATCACTTCCCCTAAGCACCAGTCTCCCTGAACTCTACATCACTACTAAGGTCATGTAGCTGGTAATTACCCTGTGACACCTTCCCTTTCTGAGCATTGCAGATATTGCTGTTCTGCTTTCATAACCATTTACAGATCCCTCTGTAATTCATCTGAAAGTTGTGTTAATGAAAACTCTTCATGCATATAGGTCCAGAAACAGTTTTAAGAGCTACATCTGGAATCTCAGTTGTTCATCCCATTACAATGCTCATTATCACAGGCTCTGATTGTATGTGTGGGTGCTATCCTTTAAGCATCACAAAACACATTATTTTTCTCCCAACAACTATATGCTGGTTGCAATTTTACAGTTAGGAACTTTCTACCAACCCCACCTCCAAACCTCTCCTATAATCCCACATAGTCAAGAGGTACTCACAGGTCTCTAGATCCATTTGATATTAACTCCAAATTGCTCTAGAACACAGGGGTTTTTATTTTCCTGAAACAGACCACCTTCATAAGAGTCCATACCAGAGCTCCTGTGAGAGTGGTCAAAATAAACACAGAGATCAAGTTTTCAACTCTGCCTTTGTGTCTCTATACAGTCACTAGCCGTGGTCCTGCATTTCTGCCACAGTTTCAGCTATGAGTGCCCAACAAAACATGAGTAAGCCAGGGTTTTGAGAGCTGCAAGTCACCCTGAGAACACTATAACCTCCAGAAAGAAGAATAAGGGGACTTGTAGGCATTGTCCTGGGGTTTCTCTGCATGACTCGATATCCAGTGTTCACAAACTTAACAATTCCAAGTGCATACCACATTATTTCATGCATGGAAAGAGAAAGCATTAGTTTGACCTGTGCAACATTACATTTTCCAGCAAAATATAGCTGGAACCTTAAAAGCTCCCTGAGATGCTTCCATGCAATTTGCCCACAAGACAAGGTTTTGGTTTCTATAAAATGGAAAGAGCACCTGTGATACTGGAACACAGGTCCTCCACCTGAGTTGTATCACAGGACTGGCAGGGTGCTTCAGGCAGTGCAGGCACAACCAGTTCATCTGCTGGTGTATGGTGCACACCTTTTGGGTCTCAAGAGAGCTGGAGCTGAGTCTGGCTCTCTTATGGGCAGCTTTCATACATACACCCCCCTCCTCACCAACCGACCTCAGACTCAGGATAGCTAAAGTTCTAAGTGCCAACACTATGTGCCACAAAATTTTTTGTGGTGCTTTTGGTTGGTTGCCGTTAAACCTTTAGTGTCTTCTAAGGCTGCTATTACAATGTTAACAGCAGGAGGGAGTCATGTGCAACCAGGCTGCCTTCTGGCAACCTTTTTGAGCCAGATAGAAAACAAAGCTGTCAGTTCACCCTTTCCTTCCCTCCCTTTATAAATTCTACTGCTTACAAAATCAGAGTAAGAGTACTTGCAGAAATCATTCAAACTGTGAGACAAACATAATCATATAAATGTATATCTCTGCATCCATCCCTCCCCCCATGTGCCAGTGCCATGCCAAATCTATTACCTAACGGCAAAATTATTCACACCCTCCCAAGACTGCTGTTCACTTACAGAAACTCACAAATGGTAGCAAAAGCCATCCACACATCACCAAATACAACACCATCTGGCGGGGCAAGAGGGGAATATGCAGTCCCTACATGCTCACAAGGGCACAGAACATAACTCCCTACCCCCACACACACCTTGTTTTTGTAGTTTACAGAAGTGAGCTGTAAAAGATCAGCAGTATTCCTTTCTTAGGGAGGAGGGCAAGGGTTCCTGAATGCAAATCTTTCAGGGGGTGTGGGGAGGAAGTAGGGGATGGAGGGAGCAAGACGAGCCCAATGCCAAAGAAGCCACCTCTGGGATTTAGGGATGTCTTGGGAGATTAAATTAGGCTCATTGCTTCCCTCTCTTCAACCCTCATTACTTTCTTGTGCAGCCAATTTGCCCTATTTCACCTTGCAGCCAGCAAAACCTTGTCCAGAAAGTCTTCAGAGGTTCAGCAGCCAGAAATACAAGGTGCCACAGTTACTTTGTGGTATTTTCTTAGATTACAGTAATTTATTTTTCAATCAGGAAAGTAACATTTAAAATATCAAAGTCCCTCAATATAGAGCATGAAGAACAAACAATGTTTTAAGTCTCCTGTACCTTCCTGCAAAAACCTGAGGTGGGACCGGATTTCCTGCCTTGTTTGTGAACAGAGGATTCATGTTTCTGCCAATATTGGTTTCTGCCAAGACTGGTTTCATCTCTTAGGGAAAAACTGAGCACCAAATTTCAGGTTGAACTGGGGAATTTACTCTAGGAATAGGTACAGCTTTTGTACTGGACAAAAAGCAGGACACCAAAGGTACACTGGGATCCAAGTGACTGCAGTCTGGGTCCAAGTTACACAGCCCTCCCCGTCCTCCCAACACATGTCAAGAGTCAGGAGTTGATCCTAAGGGTTCTATCTACACCTACACATGGCTGGGTGCAGAAGGATGCAGCATAGACTTCAGTCTGGCACAGGAGATGGATACTGAAGGTTGGCTATTGACCCCTGGGCAGGCTGACTGCAATAGGGAGTGCACAAAGAACAGGGCAAGTGACAAGACCAGCTCTTCCATATGACGGCTCTGCTGACTCTCACATGCTTTCCATCTTCATCTCTCTTTTGGGACAACCAGAGTTATAGCCTTCTGGGGTAATCATGCCTTACAGGGTAATTTTTTCCACAGGATATTCACTGTGAGGGTCCTAAATATTTTTGCTAAAAATGACATATTAGGTACCATTCTGAGACCGCTAGAAAGGAAGGAAGCCTTCCCCAAGGCTTCTAGGCTTTTGCTGCAGCTCTAGAGCTGCTGTGAGTGGCTCTGTAGAACCCCTGGTTCCATTCCTGGCAATCCCATTCCCTGGTCCATTAGTCACAGCAAGCAATTTCTTGTAGAAACTGTTACACCACACAAACCCTTCTGTCAGCAAGTCAGCCCTTACAGATCATTAAGTAAAAGACATTTCTAAGCAGTTAGCAGATCCAATCTAAAAGGCAACACAACAACTAGCCCTGAAAGTACTGAACTATTACTGAGAAATTAAAAGAATGAAAAGAACTTGTTTTGGTGTAAAAGAGTATTGGCATATACAGTCCATGCTCCTTGGTAGCAATTAAACTAACCAAAAGCAGATAGCATTGCCCCTCTCTTTTCCAGCTCCTTGAAAATCTTACACAGGGACAAATAACCATGGGCATTATTGGTTCCTGCAGCACAAAAACACCTGCTAACCAAGGCAGTGGAACAAGGATCTCTTAAAGAGATGCCAATGCCTGAATACACCTATCAGCCCACTGGGAACACAGCTCAGGTTTGCAGAGATGCAGAAAATACCAATGCAAAAAGTGCTCCAACTCTCCCATCCCTGCATTTAGTGAGGGTGTGAGGGGAGAAAAGGACTTTTAGGGCATGACAAGGAAAAGGGTTTTCTTGCAAGCAGGTTGTGCAATCCAGAGTCTCGACCGCTGTATTCAGAACAACTTTTCTTTAGGGAAAGGGAACCAACACTAACTCTCTCTGAGGCTGGAGATCTCCAAGCCAAAGCTAGCCAGCAGGCAGAGATGATCAGATGAACAAAAAGGATTTGGTAAGCCATTTGCCATCAAGAGGACATCCTCAGAGAGAAGAGAAAGACGGCCAAGCAGCTTCAGGGCTCCATCCTTGTACAGCCTGCGACCTGACAAAGAAAATGGGAAGAAAAATCAACCAGAGACTGGCACCACAGATTAACTCTACACACTCACAGAGGGATGCTTGTCAATCCTCTCCTGTTCTTTCCCTGATAAATGAAGACTGCCTGCACAAACACCACATGCACCCTTGAGCCTAGATGTGAAAGCAGGGTGCTCCCTACAATACTGCTGTTCATGGTTTCATATACTTGCAGGCATAGGAAGCAAGAATACACTAAATTCACCAGGTAGTTGCTTACATGAGAAGTTCCTTTCTTGATCTGTGGCCTAGCAATAGCTTCAGATTCCCCCCTGAGGAGGAATTAATCTCTTCATTCCTAACTGGTTCCCCAAACTTGATTCTGACATGACCCAAATCAGCTCCAAGAGAGTTCCTGGATGCATTTACATGCAGTCGTTCATGAACAGAATTCCTGTTTCAGGCAGCAGAGAGAAGGTGCCACTGGAAAAGAACCGAAGTCATCTCCTTCCAAGAACAGCAAGCATGTGGTCTCAGAGTGACCAGAAGTCCAAGCCTTGAACTCAGGACCCAGCACTGCCTGTTATCAGGAGCACAGGTAAGATACTTATACAGAAGAAAAGAATCTATTCTGTTCTAGCTTCCTCAGAAGTCTAAATGAATGTAAGCAGCCTCATTTTTTTCACAGCAAAGATAAACAGTGTCTTCTCATGGTACATGAGCAAATGTTACTTCCACCTTGTGTATTATTTCAAAGACAGATCCTGTAGATCCACCAGCTAACGAAAAGCACTGCCCATCTGGCCTGTCTCACAGTCCTCTTCCAATGTCACAGGGATAAGCCCTGCACTGCCACACTCACCCGCCTTGTTCTCCACAGGCTCTGCTGAGTAGAAAATGTAATCAACAGTGGCTCCAAGCCCCATGGGCATTGTTGTGACCTCTGGGCGTCCCCTCTGTGGCAAGAAGTGGCTGTAGACAGAGGTCAGGTTGAGGCCATGCTGGATAACACCTGAACACCTGCACACAAACAGCCACCAAGAAAGGAAAGAGAATTATGCCTTTTTGGTACTGCAGTCACAGCTGAATGTTCCCTTGCTGATGCAACTGTCTGAACTACCCCTACTTTATGCGCACATAAAATCTTTCAGAACTATTCGCTCCGCTTACACCAAAGCAAGACAGACTCTGAATTTCCTTAGCCTTCAATACCCAGTCCTGTATATGCCTATACCCTTCATTCTCACCAACATACTGCTGACAGAACAGCATCCTGCTCCTGGGACAATCCTGAGTGGACCTAGCTCTTCCAGATAGCCCTCCTTACCCTCTTTCTCTCTCACATTTACTTCAGTCTTTTTTTCAGCCAGATTTTCAGGAAAACAAGGCTGAGTTTGAAGACTGTGGCCATTGAAGGTGCACCAAGTTACCTTGGGACGAATGGCTGAGGATCAGGGTCTTTCACCATGGCAGCAGGCTTGGGCCAGTGTGCAGGGCGGTCTGCAAAGGAGCAAAGAGATTCCAGCCAGACCTACACAGATCCCAGAACAGGCTGCTCATCCCAAGTCTGAGAAGCTTCTCCTGAAACCAAATGAATCTTTTTGCCCAAGAAGAGCAGATAGCTTCGAGTCATGAATATCATAAAGGAAAATATGCAAAGAAAACACAAGCTGTAAGACTAACAGGAGCATCTCTAGAGCAGATCAGTGCAAACAACTGAGAACTCATATTCTGTCCTGCTGAGGACATGTCCTTAAAGCATTCAATATTACCAAAGTCCTGGGTATTTCAACATTTGCTCTCAAAACAAAGTTTGCTTGTCTTAGCCTACAGCTTACTCAAACGGTGTCTAGAAAGGCAGAAAAGAAAAGGAGAAAGCAGAACCAGCCATGCCACAAGGCCCAGAGGTGCAGGAATGTCTACTGGGTACCAGCTTCCTGAGACATCTATATTGGGACCATCGTGTATCATTACAGTATTCAGGTTGTTCTCTGCCACCAAAGTCTTGAAGCAGAAAAAAGAAATATACATATCTGTTTCAGCTTAAAAGAAGTTTAGAGGAAAGAGCTTCAAGAAGCTGAATATCCATGCATCTCAAACAACACAGTCAGTGTGTATGAGGGAGGAAAGTGTACTTCTCTGAGCTCTCATGAAATCTAATCATGGTCACAGAAGGCACCCTTCTGCCTTTCCCTTTCCTTACCAGGCATTACCTCCACCTCATGTTTACCTTGAAATCATAGAATCATACAGTTACAGAATGGCCTGGGCTGGAAGAGGTCTTAAAGACCATCTACTTCCATCCCTCCATCCCATGGGCAAGGATGTCACCCACTATATCAGGCTGCCCAGGGCCCCATACAACCTGGCCTTGAACATTTTCCAGGGGTGTGGCATCCACAACTTCCCAGGGCAACCTGGCCCAATGCCTTACTACCCTCTATGTAAAGTATTTTAGGAAGTTTAAAACCATTCCCCTTGTCCCATCACTATATGCTTGTGTAAATAGTCACTCTCCTTCATTTTTTATAAGCCCACTTTTAGTACTGGAAGGCCACAATGAGGCCTCAGTGGAGCCTTCTCTTCTCCAGTCCAAACTCTCTCAGTCTGTCCTCAGAAGAGAGGCTCCACTGAGCGAGGAGAGTGACAAGTTGCAAAGTCTCCCATTAGTACCTGGTTTAGCATCTGTCACACCTTCCAGGAGGACCAGATGCGGCGGTCGCTCACAGGCAGCATCGCAAAAGCGGAACTGCAGCAGGAAGTCCCGGCTGTATTCACGTCTCCCTGCAGAGAAAAGCACCAATTAAAAGAAGAAAGTAACTGCAGCAAAGTCACACCTCCAGGGTGTGACCACCTGTATTTCAGACCTTTGGGCCTCTTAGAGCTCTTTAGTTTGAGAGAGGCTTTTGTTCCCAAGCACTCTGATACCATGAGACTAGAATGGTATCAGGTTATCACCTGATAACCTACATGTAGAACAGATGTGTAAAAGTAGAAGAACAGAGCACATCTATTCCTATCCCTCAGATGCAAGAGTCATTGTCAGCACAAAGTAAGAATATCCTCTCTGAGACACCAAAAGTTCAAGGGACTTTCAAGCAGATCAGTTAGTGCAACTCCAGGAAATGTCTGCTGAGAAAAACATTTCTGGAGATCAGGGTTGTAGAATTCTGGAGATCAGAACTTGTAGAATACAAGTTCTACATTCAAGATTTTAACAAAAGCTATTTTGTGTGGGCTCCATTTTTTTAGTCCTCTTAATGGATGCAGAGAAGAGGCACGATTGTAACTGGATCTTAGGAATTATTTCTTTACAGTGGTTTGCAAATACTATCCAAAACCACACCCCAAACACCCGGAGATTAAAGCAATGCCTGCTGAACATAGTTTACAACTGCACAAAAGTGTAAGTCTGGGAATATGAAAGAGACATAGAGCAAGTGTTACTGGTAGAGGAACATTCTGCTCCTCACTAGAGAAAGAAAATGGCAGAAATCCAATAGGTTCTGGAAAAAAATGTATTTAACTTATATACAAAGTAGAAGGAGAGAACCTTTGTCAAGTTCCTCATGCAGCACATGCCCAAGCTACTCAGAGAGACAGCAAGGCCCACAAACTGCCCATCCTCAGCAAACTCATATTGTCAGTGAATACTGGAGCTCACCAGGTTTCTTTGGCTGGCACAGGGTGACATACTGGCACTTGTCTGTTACACCCAGTGAGCTTGGCCACAGTGGGGCCAGCAGCTTCCGTGAATACAATTGCTGGGAAAAGTCTTCCTGACCAGACACCTGCAAGAAGGCCAGGAAAGGAGAGCAACCATCAGTGACAGAGAGCAGATGCACAAGCTATAGACAATGTACATATATACACTTGCCAGGAGCAAGACAGGAGAATGCCCTCTTAGAAAGGCATGAGCTAAGCTATTCAGAGTATGGTAAAGATATAGTAAACCTTCAGCTGTAGGGGACAGATATAATTAGCTAAAAGTCACCTGACAAGATACTTTACAGGTATCTTATTGAAGTGATGATTTAGCTTGAATGACAACCATATATTTGATCACAGACACACAGTAAGACAACCACAAGAGACCCACTTCGAACTTTTTTTAGAACAAACGTCCACAAAAAATTTCAGTAAGTCTTGGTGGAGTTGCATTTCCTTACACTTCCAGTCACACAGGCACAAAAATTCCATAGAAAAGGAAAAAAACCACTTGATATTAAGTGATCTATTATCACAAGTGTGCCCCAAGAGAAACCAGAAGAGCAGTGATGGAAACAACATGCACGCACTTGTCTGCTTCTTTCCCCTGCAGCGCTGGAGACACTGGGGAAGACTGCTGAATCATTTTATTCAGTATTAAGACTATTTCCTCACAAGAGGAGGAATGCAGCCATGCATTTCTCTAGCAGCAGACAATAAAGAGCTATCCAATCCCAATTCTGGCTGGCAACTACCTTCCAGGCTGGCATCCCATGGTAGGAAAGTTCACCATTCCGGATGAATTTGTAGAGTGGAGAATCGGGTACAGAGTTCAGGTCTCCACACAAGATGACAGGATAGTAGCTGCCTTCAGTAGTTCTTGCAATTTTGTCAATCTCTGCTAGCAGCAATGCCACCTGGGCCAGTTTGATATCTCCTCGACGCGGATTGAACAACACATGAGTGTTGGCCACACACAGAGGACTGACTGCATTCAGACCTAGACCTTCTGGGAGCACAGGCTGCAGCAGCAGCACCAAGCCCACATTATCCCGGTTGAGGATGTCCAGGCCAGGCCGGAAGTATTCTATGGGGCTGAGACTGATCAGCTGGAACCTGCTGCGCTTATAGCACACTGCACATCCATCTGTCTTCGTCCCGGTTCTCCGTTTATAGAAGCAAGCAAAGCCTGAAAAGAAACCAGCACCTATTAAAAGGTTTATCCAGTCACTACCTCAGGCTCAGCAAGTCTGTATAGAAAAGGTTCCTACACTGGGGTACAGCAATATATCCAATTCTTTTCCAATAACCACCTTTTATTATTAATTATTGGAGGTATTTCCTCGCTCCTTGTCCTTCTAGGGCCCTCTGTTTTGTTATTCTGATCTTTCAACTCAGAGGCATCAATTGCAAAAGAAAGGATAAAGGTCTAGGCAGATAGTTCAGAAGTAGGGCCAGCAGCCACCTGCAAACAGGAAGAGGTCTCTTGAAACTGAGCGCTTTGAAGATGTTAAGCAGGAAGCACTGCTGGCCAGTCCCATGAGCTGGATGTACAGACCCACAAAAGCAGGACATACCCATCTCCTTGAATGTTGGTTCCAGTTGCTCCCAGTAATGGTTCTCTTGCACCTCCTGGAGACACAGAACCTGGAAGGAAGGCAGAGACCTCACTTGCTCCACAAGTATTCGCTAGTTACCTTGTTTTGGGGAAGGAAGAAAGTGGAAAAGTGCATTCACACACCAACCCTCCAAACAGAAATGTCATCACTGCAGCTCTGTCCCGTACTTTCCAGATGAAAAGCACTAACTTTCTGGGTCACAGTAGCACATCATTCAGTTTTCCAGCAATGAGATAAAAGATCCTTCATCCCACAAAGAGGACTCAAAGAATAAGAAATTCATGGAGTCCTCTTCTATGCAGGCTTCTCCTCCTGTACTGCCTTAGAAGACAGGTCTTTCTTCCTCTACTTCTGGTGTTTATAAAAGTTAAGCCCTGCTATCAAAGTATGACTAGTTTCTACAACCAAAGCAAGACAGACACCAGAAACATGGTCTGTGAAAGTCCACACTCTCAGACCAATCAATGTCCAGTTACCAAGCAGGCAGTATCTTCCTAGGACTTGCCCCCATCTTTTTCTTTTCTTAATACTGTTAGATCAAACAAGGAATTCGAATTCTGGTGACACTGATGTAGAGAGGGCTTAGTCATACTTACATCAGGATCCCAATGCTGGATCTCCTGCAAAAGGTTTGGAAGGCGGTAGTTCCAGTTCAGGATGTCTGGATGACAGTGTACATAGAGATCAAGGCCCTGCTCCACCAGGTCCTGGGCAAGGATGTTGTAAGACATGACTCGAAATTCAAACAGGGGAGTGTTGGAGACCTGCTCTAAGACACAGGGCTGGACAGAAAGATCCTCCCAGTCTCTCCATAAGATCTCTATGTGCAAGAGACAAAAAAGCAAAGTTACAGCGGCACTAGGTACCTTGCTGATACTTTGGTTCCCCTGGGACCCAGAGAACAGCCATTCTCATTCCCCAAACTAGGGCACTCTAGCCTCTGAGCAAACCCACACCCACTCTGGTTTTCAGGCGCTCTTTCTGGATATCTATGGATAGCTGTCTGTAGGGATGGCATAACACATGACCAGAGTCAAGCATACTGAAACACCAGACCCACTTTTCAGTGCTTCCTAGAGTACAAAGCCAGCATTTGAAAACAGTAAGGAACATATATTGATATTCAGACCAGACAGTCTCACAGCACAGAAACCACTAGCTGTGACCAGCCCCTCCTCAGCAAAAACTCACTTTACAGTTTTCACTAGCAGATCCTGTCAACTCTGCAGGGGCAATCAATGTCTTGCTGACAGCAAGCCCAAACACAATAACCTGACCACATTCACTACAAATGCCAAACCCAAACTAAACATTAGATTCAGAGCCATCACTGACCATGGTAGGGCACCTCCGATGAGACAGGATAAAATGGCACCGCTTCCTGAATGGACTGGGCTGGGAGCACTGGTGGCACTGCCTCTGCATCACATGCTAAACTCCAGGCCAGCACAGCTGGGTCATCATTCAGCACCTCCACGTTGATACCAGCACAGCCAGCTGTCTGGTGATCTGTCTGTGGGACCACAGCTGCCCAAGGGGCACTGCCTGCTACAGTCACTGTTTCCTCTGGTGGTAATCTGGCCAGTTCAGCCACTGCATGATCTTGCAGTTCTGAAGAAGCCAAGGCATTTAGCTCCAAGTGCTGCTGATCAGCACACTGGGTGAGCTCCGGAGACGTATTCAGGTCACTGAGGCTGGTCATCAATAGCTCTGAACCTTCTAACCAGTCACTAGTGAGTGTAACTGATACTTTCCTCACTGTTGGAACACTCTCACTGGCTGGCAAATTCCCTGCTCCTTCCTCCAGCCACTGCTGGAGAAGGGCTTCTTGCTCTTCTGGAACTGATCTTCCTCTGGCTGCAGCAAAGACACCTTCTATCTGGGTGGACGGGCTCTTCGCCAGAAGCACATTCTTTCGATAGGTAAAGAAAGCATCTGTCATTTAAAAACAAAATCAAAATCAAACAGCCAGAAATGCTTTCTTACTCATTATTTTCTTATTCCAACGCATTTGCTGTAACTCTGTGCAATACAACCATTCAGTATAGTACCCCAAACAAATTATTTCTCTGAGGGAAAACAGTTACAGTCTAAATAACTTCCCCTGCCTCCTCCAGAATGCTAAGCCACAGTCCAAATCCAGTCATATTAGTCCAAGCCACTGAAACTGCACACAATAGCAATGGCTTTATCAAATCTAGAGAATGCAATTCTAACTCATGCAGCAGCACAGAGAGTCAGCCAAGCTGAAAGGCCTTGTGGAAATATCAGCTCTCAGCAACATATGTAAAGGCAGTCTCTAAAAGTTAGTTGATCATGCATGGGCTAAGAAGCTAAGGTCTTGGAGACCATCTTTTGGAGCAAGTTTCTTTCCAGGGACTGAGCAAGAAATAGCAGTCAGCTAAGAGAGTAAAAATACATCACAAGAATGCATTGTAGAAGAAAAACCATTCTGTTACTAAGAGATGAAAAATGAAGACACATAGGGACCAACATATGCCTCATTAGAGAGAGTATATGCACAGAAGAAATCTTGATAAGAATTACAGATCAACTAATGACTGACATGTGGCAAAAAAATAAAACCATTTTAAACTGTTTTTAATGTAACATTGAACACAGTAATATTTGTGCAGTAAAGTAGAAAAAGACAGAGATTCTTTTCACTTGCATCTATACAAGAGACGGCATTTACCCTTCGCTATGAATTCTGCACAGACACTTGTCCCTACTGTTAACTAGCAATTACTGTTGATTACAAATCACTTTTTTCTCTGTATCCCTGTCAGTCAGCCAGAGCAGTAACATAGAGGAGTCAGCAACATTCATGTATAGTTTCACTATATCTTTTGCGTCAAAGTTTTCTGTATGTGTCAGAAATGGGGCTTTAAGAACCATACTCCTCTCTGTCAGTTTGTAATTAAGTTCATTAATGTCAGAAACACCAACACACCAAGGTAATGTTCCCACACGCCCCTGACCAGGCACGATGAGTGCCTGCAAAAGCCTGTTAATACACAATAGGAGCTGAATTTGAGAGGAGTCAGCTCGCTGCTCACTATGACAAAAGACAGTGTGCCAGTCCAGTAGTTGCTACAGGCCCAGGGACAGGTTCAGGCTGGAAGGTGGCTTTACATGAGCTCAGTAATCAGGGACTGTAAAGCAGCAGCAGGATCTAGGGAAACTAAGTGAAATAGCGATGCACACAAAACGTAAGTCCATCCACGAAGTCACCCGCAGGTCCTTGGGGGATCACAGATCTCTGAGCTGCCCATCTCCAAGTATCTCTCCCAGCCTGGAGAACAGGTTGGCGGCAGGAGCTGGAGCCCCTGCGCAAAGCGCACTCTGCCTCTGCAGCACAACAGCCGGCAGCTGTTCCCTCCACGCACGCAGCTCCCCGCGCTGCCCGGGGCCAGCAGCCCCGGCCCGGCCCGGCCCGGCCCGGCAGCCCCACGCCCCATCTGCCTAGAGCCGGGGCCTGGGGAGCTCCGGGGCAGCTGCGCCGGCCCCGGCCGCCGGGCCGCACCCCCTCAGGCCGGGGCGGGGGACGGCGAGGGACATCCCCGCCCCTCCGGGCCACCCCCGGCAGCTCCCCCTGCTCCCGCCGCCGCCCGCTCGGGGCCGGGTTACCTCGGAGGGCCTGGAGGAGCCGCGCCGCCGGCAGCAGCACGTAGCAGAGCACGGTGCCGATCATGCCGCCCGGCCCGGCCTCCACCGCCCCCAGCCCGGCCCCGCCGCCGCGCCGGCCCCGCCTCAGCTACGGCCTCACGGCGCGGGCTCGCCGGCGCCCGGCCTGCCCGGGCACTCACCGCGTCGGGCCCCCGGGGCTCGCACCGGCTCGGGCCTGGCCGTCCCCGGGCGCCGCTCCAGGGCCGCCCGCTCCCGGGAGGCCGCGGCCCGTGGTGGGACGGCCCCGGCCGGCGTGGGGCACAGGCAGGAGCGCAGCCTGCGAGGGGCCCGGCAGCCGTGCTGTGCCTGAGGGGTCAGAAGCTGTGACCCTGGGCTGAGTGAAGGTTGCTTTATGGCTCCGCCACCCTGAAATTTGTGGTTTCAAACAAAAATTTTCACCCCCTGTTCTCCAGAAATACAAACAGGAAAATTTCCATGATTTCTTGTCCCCTGGGAAGCCACCTTTTGCTCCAGATGTTGCACAGGCTTTTCGAACAGCACCGATAATTGCTAAGGTTTTGCAACGCACAACCTCTAGGCGGCAGTGGCGATGGGGTGGGGGAGACAGCAGAGCAGGAGTGTGCCCTCACTTGGTGCTGCTGAGAGGTTATCAGAGGCTGGCAAAATCAGTCCTCACCTGGCTATGAGTACTCTGCCATTTGCAAGTTGAGATCCATCACGTGCTGAAACCAGGCAGTTGTATATGAAAAGCGAAGTCCTGGTTGAAGTCCAGAATTTCAACGTTTGTGCTTCACTCCACAATCACATGTTTTCAACATCTGAAGGCAAACAGGTTGAGCTGAGCACACTACAGCTTTTTAACACCAAATACACATTTCTGATTTATAATCTCAGTAGCCTTCTTCCAAACTCTGAGTACCTGCAATGAAGTCAAGATTCATATTATCCCTGAATTTTGCACTGATGAGTGCTACCAAACTGCCCCCTTCCTGGTGACCAGCTGCCATCTCATGGGTCATAATTAAATTAAACACTTACTGATGTGCAGAAAATCACACTGTGAAAAGCCAGTGTCCACAAAAGAAACAGAGGAATCTTGCAATTTTGAGTAAAGGGATGGAATCCACTTGGCCATACTTCCATGGGGTCTCTCTCAAATTTTTGGAGGACACAGCCTCCTTTTCTCCTAAACTCCTGGCTGCAGGTTGCCCTCCTCCTTTCCCCATTAGCTGAGGCACTAGGAAGGTAAAGACTTCCCAAACCACCTACTACATATTGCCTTAAAGTTTAGAAACTCAAATTATCTAGCTTCTTCAAAAAATGCAGCTTAATATTCATTAAGACATTATGGCCCATTTCGAAGACATTAACATCCATTTCTTATAAAATCCCCACAGCCATTCTTCCAGAACTTGATTGGTTCTTTCAGCTGGAGTTGTTTGTGAAGACATTAAGACCCATTTCTCCCATTAGTAATTAGCACAATGAGTGTCCACAGCTAGGATCTGAGATGATGTTACAATGTATATAAATAATAATCCTACCACTCTTTTTCAAATCTCCATTTACAGAACACCACAGACTATCGAAGCAGGGACTTGTCTCAAATCCCACAGATATCTCTGGCAAAGCACTAGACTGTGGTTTCCCATCTCCTGTTGCAGTAACTAATCCATCATTGGTTTCTAGTCAGAGAATGTAGATGTTCTCCAGAGGAAGGATCTGCAACATTAGGAGCTCATGACTGGGTCATTTAAAACCAGCCTGTTCCTTGAAAGGAAAGATCGCAGAAAAGATCTTCAGACCCAACCCACATCAGAATACTCAGACTGAAATCAGAGAAGAATGTTAGCTGGTGCTACAAACAAGCAAGCAGCTGTGGCCATATAGCCACAGTTGTTTGGCCTACACTAGAAAAATATTTTCAAATTTTGGCAATACAAACAAAGCTGACAACGGTTACCTACTTCAGGGTCAAGCCTTCCACTGGATTTTGTGGTATTTTGGTTTTCATCCAAATGTAATCCTTCCACGGTCTCTAATGACTGGACAGTTTGAGAGATCTTTGTAGAACCTAAGGGAATAAAGCCACAAAAATTATCCTATTATTTGGGAAATAAAAATATTTCTAAGTCTATAAATTATTTCTGCTCAAGTTTTATCAGAAAGCCTCTTCTGTTACAGTTTTGGTTTTAGCACCTTAGGAAAAGTCACAAAGTCCTCAGTAAAAAAGATGTAAAATAATAAGCACTGAACCACTTTTGGCACCAACAGTAGTTGGTGGAATGAGTGAGTACTTGATTCAAGGCCCCATTAACTGCTGACATGTTTACAAGCCACACGTTATTACTGAACATACTGGGAATTTGGCAGTAGAGAAGTCTGAATCTGTTCCAGACTAAAAAGGTGAACACATTCCTATCTTCATCTCATTTAACACTATAACTGCCACAGTCTAACTTTATCATGAAATTGTACAAACTGGAACATGAACTTAAAGGAGACAAGAACACTCAGCAATGGCTTCGTGTGACTTTTTCATACATCTGGGGGAAAGGGGGAAGGTCCACAGCCAAAACCATAGCTATTCTCAGTTATTGTGAGCTGACTGGATCCCAGAATGATGGGGTTTCTGGTACTGAATGTCACCCTTAGGAGTCAGAAGGTGCAGGTGAGGTCACATAAGGGTGATGTGGCAGCACAGGGCAACCACAGGCTCTGCAGGGCTTTCTCACAACACCGGGACAGCCCCTGCAAACAGCACATAGGATTCTCCTGTTTGTTTATAAGCAGCATAAATCAAGAACTCAGGTCTTACAAGTGGCATCATTCCTCCTGGAGATGTTTTAACACGAAGCAGCTGTGCTTTTACTGTGTGTGTGTGAAACATACACCTAGGATCTAGGAGCTGGCTGTGAACTCTTCATTTACAGAAGAGAAAAAGCCGATGAACCTGTGACTCACTAGTGGTGACACTGAGAATGAATCTGAGAAGGATGCAGGTGCAGGGCTTACTTACTAGCAAACTCACTCCAGAAATTCTCAGAAATGGCCAAAGGAAAATCAGCAGCAGCTAAGAGGGACTGTGGTTGCACCAGGCTGATCACCAGTTGGGAAGGCTTCTCTCCTGAGGCCAGGCAGCAATGAGAAGAAGGGTGGCAAACAGGGATCCAGAGTACCAGTGGCCAGATGTGGGAGCTGCCATCTGGGAGCACTTGGAAAAAGCAAAATGAATCATTAGAGGACTTGGCAGTACCAGCTTCCAGAACACTCCACCGAGCTGCCCCTACTGCCTCTAAGAGACGTCAGAGCTCAGCATCTTTTGAGACCAGATCTTGTCTGAGCTCTTCATTGCCCAGGACAGGCAGGGCATGGGGGCAGCAGGGTTTTCTGAACCTGCTGCTCTCAGGCTCTGCTTGTACACAGCAGAGTCAGGTGCCAGGGCTGCTCACAGCTATTTGGCCTGACTTCCTAACTTAGCATTACAGTTCCCCTCAAAGTTCTAAACCTCCTTTGGCCTGTCATTTAGTCATTACATGTTAATTTCTTATTTTCCTTTGTTGTTACGTATGCAATTGTTTCTTAATGCAATTACTGTAAGGCATGGGGGACAACTCTTCTAGGCTTGTTTTTTATATATTTAAATAGCTCATAATGCAATTTATGAAGTGCCAAAATGATTTCTAAATCTACCTCAGAAGGCTCAATCCACACACTGTGGGACTGGCTAATGTACTGGGCACATGACTTGTCTCATGACTTTTTTACATGGGATTTAAGCCTATTTTTACCCTTCCTTTTGTCTTTCTCACACTAGAGTAATGCAAGTAAACCCATCATCTGACAAAATCTGGCAGAAGGAAAGGGTCTTAATAAAGGAGATGCAGCTGCAGAGCTGGTTGAAGTGTGGTGATGTGGGTGCCAGCTGGCTAGTCTTTTCCCCTTATAGATCTGAATAAATAGCTAAACTGCTCCACATTCCACATCAGTGCTAGGTGACACCCAGGAAGGGTACAAAATTACAGGTTAATAGCCTGGAGCTCTAAAGGGCAATAGAGAGTAAGGGGAAAAGGTAGTAAAAGCACTGACAGGGACTGAAAAGGAAGATTCATGGAAGAAAAAAAAAAATATGTATTAAACTATTAGCCAGAAATTATTCTGGCAAAATAACACTTCATAATTTTTTATGCATTTAGTCCCCTTAAAAGGGAATTTTCCAAATTCTCTTTCTCTATAACTATAAACTATGAATTGTGGACAAGAGAAGCTGTATCTCTTCCAGTGAGTCTGCTTACACTCAATCCCAATATACAATGGCATTCAAATGCTTTTTCTTCTGCCATGCAGGACAAGTATACTGCAAAGCATTCCCAGAGTCTGATCACAGAGTCAGCCCCTGTGCCTGGGGAGTTGTCAGTCAGTTCAAGAGAGGTAGGAGCAGCTGGTATGGTTCTGGCTTGCATGTTTGTGGGGAAATGGGACAAAGATAAAAAATTGCTTTGCCTGGTGGGCTCAGAAATTGAGAAAGGGGAGAAAGGTAGCTTGTGAAGGAATAAGAACCTAATGTGGGAGAACTGTGAGTTCCCTGCACATGGCCTGAAGAACCTGAGGAAAGCTTAGCCCCAGAGTTAGCCCTTCCCCACACTGGGGCCAGCACCACATGCATGTAGTGCACAGGGAGTGCTGGGCACGAAGCAGGGTTGCAGGAGTACATCCACAGCATGTTGAAGAGAGGCTTCAGTCAGAGAAATGGAAGATCTGTCACATCCAGGGAGTCACATCTCTGCTAGGCTTGCATTGACAAACTGAATCTGCTTCATGGCAGACCAGAATGAAATGTCCAAAATGAGTGAGCCCCAGGAGTCTGTCTTGCTGGCTGGTGCCTCAGCAGAGAAGGCAATGCAAGCTCCTGACACTGACCTAGGAGTTGAAACCGAATGGTTTCTGACCATCTGCACTCACTAGCCTTTCCATACTGTCAGAATTGTACCTACCAACTGGTATGTATCCAAAAAGGAGGCCAAGGACATGATCCTGCCAGAATTCTAACAGCCACATGTAATCTGGCTATTGATAAAGGCAGGGGGGGAGAGGAGGAGAATGGGAATTTCCATTTAAGAGCTTTGACATTAAACATCTTTCTTCAACTACTTTCTACACACCAGGGCTATTTATTTGTTCCCTATTGTCTCCTCTAGTTGTTAATAGAGCAGCAGGAGGAGCTAGCTGAAACCAGGAATGGAGCTGCAGCCCTGTTTGTGCACTCCTGATGAAACACTGTAGCACTTGTGGTCTGCACACCACGGATTTGCCACAACCCTTCTAGTCTTTTCTGGTGGCTGTCCTCTATTTTCTGCCTTGTGAAGTCAGTCATCTGATAAAACAAGCCTTGCAATCATTTTTGTAACATTAGGATTTATCCATGATCTAGGAAAACTTTCTAATGTGTTATAAATGGAAGGAAAGTCAAAAAACATAATAACACAAGAACAAAGACTATCTTGTTGAAGGCTACAGACTGAACTGGAAAAGGACTTTGTTGAGAGAGGACTTCGTTGAGAGGGGAATTTGTCTTGAGGTTAAACTGCTGAATGCATATAACAGCATGAAGAAATATGATCTCCAAGTATGGGGTTTGATGAAGGAATTCCAAATGACAGGTTTTTGTGGAAATACAGCCTCCAGCTGCACTGCTATGTCTCACTGCAGCTGTGTCAACAACACCAAGATGAAAATGCTGGCATTCTTTCTGCTGGTTGTAAGCCAGAATGTTCTGAGCTGCCCTACCTCTGCTGGCAATATCAGCTGCATGCTTAAATTAAGGGGGAAAAAAAAGTTTTTACCTGATGTCAAAAGTTCTCAGTTACACAAAAAAAAAATTCAGTCATGTTGCAGACTGGTGAGAAGCTGCAGCAAGTCACTGGATGACAACTGGATAAGAAAGGAGGATAAATTTACTCCTGAAAGTCTGGGATAAAGGCATGGGGACAACCAGGGGATGACAATGCATAAGGAGTAAAACTGTGCTGTTGTTGCATAGTGTTACTTAATTTTATTAAGTAGTTTAATTTATTTAATAGAGATGGGGACACAATGCACCACTCATCAATATACTTTTACTCTGTAGATCCTGAGAAGGCCTTTGCTGACATTATAGGCACAGAGCCCATATACTTGGAAGCACACAGGCTGATGGAAGTGGTACCTGCCTCACACTTGATTCAAAATTTGGCTAAGCCTTACATCAATCTGAACCACCATGTTCTAGGACCTAAAGGTGTCTAAGACATTGTTAGTGCTATGGTGGTGAGTAGCCAGTAATGGTGGGGCCAGTGTTCTCAAGAGCAATAGGAATTTTAAGCCTCTCTCAGGCCTGGAAGTCATCAATGAGTACACAGTGTGGGAGTAAAAAAACATAGGAATCCTGGGCATCCCTAATGTTTCTCATCCTCTGCACATGGAAGTTTTGTGTGGCAACTGATGTCCTTTAATGGAGTTACCTCCAAAAGCAACTGATGCTCTTCCATGGAACACAAGCCCTCAGTGGTTCTAACCCCTACAGGGCCACAGACGGGGCTGGGGGGACTCCTGTATGTCTTTGTTTACCTTTCTGTCTTCCCAGTCCAACATAACCATTACACAATTAGAGTTTGAAGACAGCTGCATTTTGGTAGAAGGAGCTATATGCATAGGAGAGATGTTGTGAGAGAATTCATCCCTTCAAGAACTGTACCTGATCTGACGTAATTTGTAGTCAAAATTATTGCTCATCAAGTTCAATCTTCTGAAAGATAACCAATTTTATCCAAACAACTGTTGTTCCCAGGCAAAAATGTTCAAATTCTGAAAGTCATGATATTTTCTGCTGCAATACTTTTATAATGTACAAGCTTCTGAAAAGCAGAAGTGTGCATGTAGTAGGCAGTCTGGTGACTCTGGAACTGTTATCTTCATTAGCAGATGTGACAGTAATTACCATAACTAAGTCATTCCAGTTTATGCTTGGCCAACAGAAAACATGTTTTTGTCAGAAAATTTCATTCTCCAACATGACACGGAGAAACTTTTCTAAATAGATTAAGAGAATAATGCTAAATGTTCAGATATGAACTGGTGGAAATGTTCCTTCAGTTTGAAACTGGGATATACAAAACGCATTTTGTTAGGCCATGGGATCTGTGTTACACTGAAAGAAAAGAGTCTTGGCAAAATGCCTCTTGGCTCACCGAAGACAAAGATCTATGTGAAACTGATGACTCTAGGGCTTTATTTGTGTTAGGAAGGATACAGGGTTAAATACACCTATAACCTACACGTTAATTACTGTCTGGCCAACATTTCATGTTGCTCATCTTATATTACTCCCTTGGTATCCTGGGCACTAAGAAGACAGTAAAACCAATATAGTCTTTGGACCCATCCTTCTTATACTCCCTTCTTTTCTTCCAGAACATCTCTAATAAGCACCTAGACACATCAGGAGCTAAAGCCATTGCCAGTTTGCTTTTGGTTAATTTGTCCTACCTCAATGTTTTTCAACTCTTGGGGGTTGTGTGCACACAAACACTGATGGCAGTAGAAGTGAAGTAACATGTGTTTCATTCCAGCCTCTCACCCTGAAAATACTACTCAGACTATGGGTAAAATCAATCTCTCAGCTATGTCTCTGATGGGAACCCAGATTAACAGTGGAAAGCTGGACTTAAATGATTAAATATTTGACCTGCTCAATTTCCAGCATCTCTGAAAACCAGTCCCTCAAGAGGAACTTAGTTAATTTCTGGAGCATCTCCCACATATTTGGGTAATTCCACTCCACAGAGCAAAGTAGTAAAGTGACAAACTTCCCTATCAGGTTTGGCTGAGGTGGAGTTAATTATCCCCATAGCAGCCCTCATAGTTCTATGATTTGTATTGGTAGCTAGAAAGGTGTTGATAAACACAGGAAAATTTTGGCTCCCAAAGCATCAATCAGTGTCTCTCCAACACCCCCCCTCTTCACCACTTGGCTGGTGGTAAGCAAGACCTTAGGAGGGAACATAGCTAGGACAGCTGATCCAATCTCACCAAAGGGATATTCCATACTATATACATCTCCTCAGCAATAAGAGCTAAGAGAAAGGCAGGGAGTAAAGGGAAGGGAGGATGGGAATCTGCAGCACATTTGTTATTATAATGTTTGTCTTCTGGACCGCTATGTGTATGCACCACTATATAACACCATGTGTACTAAAGCCTGACTTTCTGGGAAGTGATGAGAAATAGAGAATAAATATTTTCTTTTCCTTTGCTTTAGTGTGTGACTTTTTCTTTTGCCTAATTAAACTGCCTTTATCTTGATTCAAAACGGCTTTTTCTATCTAACTTTCTCCCCCATTCTGCAAAGGAGGGGAGTGACAGGCTTGGTGAGCACCTGATGTACAGCCAAGGTCAACCCACCACAACTTCTTACAGCCAGATAGGGACTGTGATGGACTGGAGGTTTTACCTAAAAGCACATCTTTCTGCAGACCCCAGCACAGCACCAAAGGAGAGATCAGTGCATTGTTAACGTACTTTTCTTCCCCAAGAAACAACTTTGGAGAGGAGACTGCACCATACTTTGCTGAGGCATGAATAGTGAGTTACCTGAAATCCAAGGTCATTTGCAGCCCTCACTTGGCATGATTTCACTTGGCAACGCCCACATGATTTCCTGGCATAATTCTGCTAAGTGCTTCGTTCAGAAATAAGAGAGGCTGAGAGGACACAGTGTTGGATGAACTGCATCAACATTTTTTCAGAACAGCTGAAAAACAAACCTTCAGAACCTTCAGTTGTGTAAGAGAACACAACTTCATAAAGTTGTGTTCCTAAAGACCTGGTGGATAGTACAAAAAACAGGGCATCCAGATCCAGAGCTTTCTGGCTGGCTCACAGGCTCACCCTCATCCCCACAGGTGACTCTAGCAACTATGAGTCGTGTATGGGAACACACCTGCAGCATGAGAAACCACAGTAACAGAGCAGTCTGTCAGAGAGGAAGGAGCTGAAAGAGAAGTCCCTCCGGGCTTATAAAGCAGAAAATTACTAAAATTCCAGAGGATTTGAGCCATTGTTTGTTTTGATTGCAAAGTTCAGGAGCTACTTCAGTTTTTCATAAGTAGCCCAAACATAATGGTTTTAGCCATTGCACAGTAAGCAACAAGAGACACAGACTAGAAAGGAATAAAATAAAGCTGCCTAATCTGTCTGTTCAGAGTCAGAACCTGAGTGTGCTAGTAGTCCTTTAGAGGAAAAGCAAAAAAACAATTAGTATTTCAGTAATCTCAGATGCTGTTACTACACTGTGAAAGACTTGCATGAATATCTGAATGCCCTTCTTCCCTCAGTATGTTCCACACACCTGCTACCATGATGGCCACAAGCACGTGGTGTGAGCACCCAGTGTTCCTTGAGCATCTCAATAATGCAATGCCTTCCGTTTCATGAACGCCTTCCTTCTCCTGGTTCAGTATTTCCACTGATATGTTATCTCTTTCTAATAAAAGTCCATATATTTAAAATATGGTACAATTACAATTGAAGCGAGGGCAAAGCAATGTGCTCCTGCCTTGAAAAAGCCTGCAGGCAACACAGAGATTGGTACTAAAACTTTTGACCTTCCTAGTCCAGAAAAATGCCTCTCCAAAATTCAAGGTTTTACATCTCTTCTCTCCTTCAGCTCACTTGAAACAGGAGCAGCAGAGATTACTGCAGAATCTGTTTCTTTCTGTTTTGTTTCTAAAAGGAATATTTTTAAGTCAGCTAAATTCACCATCTGCCTCCATCCAACCTTCCATACATGGAAAATTTGGATGAGAAATTCTCCCTGAGAATGCGAAGCAAGTGTTGGCAGCAAGTCCTGTCCCTCCCAGTGCCACAGCAGACATAAATGAATTCACACATACCCTGCTCTAAGTAGAACTTACACCTTGAGGTGTGTGATGCATGTGAATTGGCACTGGCACTCGTACAGCTGGGCACAGCTATCATGTGAAGCTGAATTCCTGAATTCCTCTCCTCTGATAATCAAATATAAGTAGAGTGAGTATTGATATTTTAGATGTGGCAAGGAGAATCTGGACATTTTTCACAAAACCCAGGCAGTGTCTATTAATATAAGAAATCCTCCCTCTCTCTACCCTTCTCCTTCACAACGTAAATGATTTGCTAAGAATTTATTCAAGCACAGGATAAACTGTCTTTGCCACGCAGGGCAATGCCACGGCACTACATAAAATAGAGGAGTATTACCAAGCCCTGGCAAAAGAAAGCCAAAACTGTCTTCTAGTAAGACAGGGGTCAATAATCCCTGAAAAGGCAAAACTGAATAACCAGCTAAGATTTCTCCAGAGGTGAGAATTGAGAGCTAGCACACCTTCTCAATCCAAGATCAGACTCTAGGAATTCAGCTCAGAAAAGCCAGCTTGCTTACAGAATGCTTCCAAGCTGCATTCTCAGCTAGATCTAGCATCACCATCCTGAGAGCCCGCGAATGACACTATGGTGGTTGAGAGGCATCCTTAAAGCTGCTAATGTAGGCCTGTCTCTGGACACCCTGTCTTTGTAAATCACTGCAACCACCCCAGTCTTTGGGCCTGCTGTTTCAGATTATGTAAATAAACGTGTCTGTGTGCCTTGCTCTTAACCTGGCTTGAGGTAAAGTCACTAGCTCACCCAGAGGCATTCCTCTCTCTCTCTGTAGCCATCCAGATTGTCTTAGGAGCAGATAGCACAAAGGACCTAAACAAGAACATGTCTTCTGCTGGCCAACATTAACAAAGAAACTTTTCTTTCTAATTGTGAGAATGGGGACTGCACATGAGGTCCAAGGTGGGGGAGAGATACTGTTCATGCACTCAGAGAGGCACACAGCAGTGTAATGCCAGACAGCCAGACCTTGTAGCAGACAGACAACCAGCCTGAGCTCTGATCTGCTGTGCTACCAAGAGGAGCCAAGTGAATGGGAAATGTCCCAAGGGGCACAATCCCATCCAGACGGGCCCTAAAGCAAGTACCCATTCAAAGGCAGCCCATTGCCTCAGCCTCCTCCCATCACAAGACTGAATATGATGCACATCACATCCCTCTACATGACAGATGGATAGATGGACCTGATACATGGAATTTCACATTAGAAGACAGAAAGAAACTAAGAAGGTAACTCCCCTTGACTTGGAAGCTTGCAGACTTTCGTGGGACAGAGACAAGATATGATGAGGAAACAGAAAAACCCATTCAAAGGGACCACAGTTCTCCACATGCCTGCTGAAGAATGGGAAGAAAGGGTCATCCTTGAGGTTACAGCATGCCTTCTGCTAGACATGATATCTTCATTCTCACCATGTCTAGATCTATGTCTCTTTTTTTACAGATGGCCAGTAATCCCCTGACCACAGAAGATGCCACTGCACTAGTCACAACCATCAGAAAGAACAGATCTCCCTCCATATTCAAGACTCCAGGATCATACACTATGCATTTTTAGAAAGTGGGTGGATCACAGAACTGCCCCTTTCAGAGACTGTTTTGCCACTTGCTGTATCTTTCATTTATGCACCGTCATTAATTTAAAAAAGCTAGTATTTGACAACTCTTCCAGAAGCCATGCAGAATCTGGATTTAGTCTAGCTCTGGAGAGGTGCTTGTAGTTTTACCACATTTCACTCACTTCCATTTTCTAACAGCAGAACTAGAACAAAGAGTGAATTACCACTGGAGGACGAATTCTGTTCATCCCCTGAGCTGCCTTTCTCCAGGGCAGCCTAAGATGCTAAATACTGTGAAGTACTTTGATACTCCATCACTATGTCTGGGGAATAGAAGATGGATGCTTCAAGGCATTGAAAGTAAAGCAGTCCTATTTTAAAAAATGCAAATAAAACATTAAAAGGCTGGTAGGAAGGAAAAAGAAACCAAAGAGACCAAATCTTAGTATAGTCTGTAGGAAAGTGGGAGCATGACACATATTGTTGCAACTTCATGTGCTGCCTCTATTGTTTCGAAAATAGGAGACTGAGAAATGCTCCTGAGGTCCTGAGTGAGAGCAGAGGTTATACTGCAGACCAGCACAGGGTAGACACCTGGGTATGTACTAGTCCAGTCCTGGCCTTCCCATCCATGCACTGGTTCTTCATGGCAGGAGTTACAGAAGGTGTCAGGGCCCTCAGGGCCCTCCATTCACATTTGGGAGCACCGTGATTAAAGGAGAGTTTTCACAAAAATTAGATTTGGGACTTGGAATGTAAACACTTGAAACAAGCTAAAAATAAAGCTGATGGGCACTCATGTAATGGGTTGTACCTAAGTTATATTTGCATGTGTTTTTTTGTTACTATGTTAATGAAAGAAACTAAAAATAAGCAGAATAAGTAATATTCATCCATAGTCTTTCTTGAGAGTATCGAGAGTTTTCAGCAGAGATAATCTGAAGAACAAGCATTCCTCTAGGGTAAAGATTTTTTCCTGCATAAATTAAGATCAAAGAGAATTATTTTCCAAGTCTGCAAGAAATCAGGCCTCATTCTGCAAAGGAAAACTAAAACAGGCTGTATGGGTGCAAAGGACTGCATTGCAATAGACATGCTCCTGCTAGTTTTATTACTAATAACCTAAAAAATTAATAAAATTGGAAATAATAATAAATTTTGGCTAAATTCTGAGAAATTAAAAGAGATTATTGAAATGCATTTATTTAAAAGGAAACACTTCAGAAACTTTGAGGCAAGGAATTGATCTTGAACCTAGATCTCATTATGAATCTGCTTTTAAGGGTTAACAGTTGTTCTCTTCACCTCACTCTTGCAAAAATCTAAATTACCAGGCATTTCACAAGTGAAAGAGTCAATGGCATAAATTTACAATGACATTTCAGTATCCCAGTCAAATGCTTGTAGGTAAACATCTAATCTATCTGACAGATTTCATTCCACCTGTGATGTGGGGGGGATACTGTAGGAAAGGAGTCTTGTAATTCTGAGTAATTGTAAATATACAGTGCCAAAGACCTTGCATTGTCTTAAATCTTTGAGAAATCAGTAAAGGTGTTAGTCCTTTACAGGAAACTTAAGGGAAGACATAAATAAAAGCCTTTTCTGCCCCTTTTCTCAGTGATGCATGCTTATCTTGACTTCTAAAGAATGAATAATTAGTGTGTCAATAAGAGGAATTTGGAATAAGGACATCTAGAAACTCTGCATGGATTTGACAGTACTAGCAATGGTGCAGCATACAAAGGCACATTTTTAACAACAGTTAAATCCTTCTGACAAGATTTCTAAGCATAACTGTTCCCTACATTCTTTCTATAATCTACTCTTTATAGAGTTCCAACTTGTACATACTGACAATCAAACATTTTCAGGAATCATTAATCAAAGTAGCCAGTACATGCTCATCTTCAGCACCACAGTACACTGGAAACTACCGGTGCCTTTCAGCTGCCTGTGTGTTGTTTTTCTGGACAGGACTGACTGTGTCAAACATGCAGAGATGCCCAAGCTGGCTCCCTCCAGGTGCTGCCTGACCCTAGCACTGTTTGTTAGGCCAGACATGGTGCTTTGGCTATGCTGCTCCTGAGGCTGCACTGGCAGTTCACCAGCTTTGGCATGGGCTTAAGCCCTGCCAAATGGGCTCAGAATGGGTTGTGAGCCCTAGAGAGAGCCAGCAGCCTTAAAAACAGCTCGAGCTTTCCTGCTCTGCATTCCCAGGAGTAGGTCACTCTGCTGCTGTCCATAGTGCCAGGATGTCTGAATGGCTTCATCAGAGAGCCACCCCACATCCATCAAACCCTTGGTGCTGAATGAAAGCTAATAAACAGCTGCACCCTGACTGGTTCAAGACTGGATTTGAGTAGTAACAGTCAAGAGCTTATTGCACAGTAGATTATTAGCTTGTGGATGGATCTGCAGAACAGTGGGTCTTAAGTTTCCAAAAAGAAGTTGAAAGAATGCATTGGCAAACTATAAATAAACTTTAGGGGAAAATACAGTGCTTTAATCTTTCACAATGACAGAAACAAAAGCTTTCATAAATTTCCTGAGCTGCCTTGACACTTTCAACAATTAAGTATATAACTAACATAATACATGAACAATTCCCCTGTCATCATGGGTATGAACAAAATCATAGTCATGTCTTTAAGAGCTCAATCAATCCAAAGTAAAATTTAGAGGAATAATTTACAGTGGCATCAATAATATTTGCATCGACAGATTACTTTCTAACATTCCAAACCCCTGAATCAGGACACTGTGCTACTGCCCATTCAGTATATGTTAAAACATAAAACTTGCAACATGAACTCTGAAATGCTGAGCTGCCACTACCCTGTTTGAAATTCTTAGGAACAAAATGTCAGGCCTTCTTCTGCTGACTGGAACTTCTTAGGATTACACAATGAAGCAAAGAGCTTTCCCAAAGGTTCTGTTCATCTGGAGACACCCAGCCCCTTCCCAGAGAGAATCATCTTTCTTGTGGGCTATAAAGCTCCATTGCTGGAGATATTAATCCTTTAAGGTCTTGGGTGATTCTGATTTTTATTTTTCAGAACTCTATAGCACATTGTGGCCATAAACTGTTCAACTTGCAGTCTGTGTCTTAATAGAATGGAGAGGAGACCTGTCTAGGACTGTCTCAGGGATGAACATGAATCACTTGAATGGCCAAAAATAAGAAGTCTTTGGTAAAGACATTTACTGATGAACACCTACCTTGCTCTAAGCTAATTTCTACACAAATTAGTAGATCTTTTTCTGTCTCAAACATGGAAAAAGAGAAAGATTAACACTTATTTACGGTTGGATCTCCAGGGGTTTCCTGAAAGTGAAGAGCAGAGATAGCAGAAGGCACCATCCTTAGGAGAGGATGGCTAATGTATTTATGAACACAAGATAGGCTTTGTTGTTCTCTGAGTGTCCACACTGACTGCACTTTCCTTGCCCTATGTAGCACAATGAGTTGATGAATGAAACTTTCATCAAGTTGCAGGATTTGATGGGTCAAATGCATCCTGAACTAGATGTCATCTACAGTAAGGTCAAAGGCTGAATCACCAAGATCCCCAACAGCATCCAAATCCCATGGAAGTGATTCAGGCAAGCTATTGAATTGTGTTCTTAGCTCCTGGACACAGTACACATGCTGTGGGCACTTGGAGGGATGGAGGTTCAAAGGGGTAAGTTTTCCTTCAAGTGAGAAATACAGCCAAATTCCTTCAGAAAAGTAAATACACAAAGAGAATCACAATTTTCACACATCTCAGAACACACAGACTGACTAAGCAAAGCCTTTGATCTTCTGGAGAAGGTATTTCCACGGGATCTTAGAGCACTGAGGGGGAAAAAAGGAACATGAATAGATATTTGCTTGCTGTGTAAAACAAATGGATTGATTTCAGGTACGATCCAAATTAGTGTCCATCCTCATCACAAGCCCATCCCAGCAGCTGACTTTCATAAAACACTTCTCTGACAGTTTTGCTTTAGCATCAAAATTAATGTGCTTCATAAAAGTAGGATATGGCATTATAAGAACAAGGTATTTTCCATCTGAAATAGATATTGCTCAGCTTTTCAAGGTCTGCAGTTTCCATGGATAGCAGGAGATGGTGCTGTCCTCCTTTCTGGAAGCCAACACAAGCAATTGATGCTTGCTGAGCTAAATAACACTTTTGCACTACCAGCTTCACTGTGTTTCTTAACTGCCGTGCAGATTTTCAGCCAATTGGGTGAGAATTAGCTGCGGATAAGGCTTCAGATGAACTTAAGCAAAGGCTTGGGCTGTTAGCTCACATCAAACAATGCTGCTGTGCTTCACAGCTAGTCACACTTGCACTACTATGCTTTGCAGCTTTTAATAGCCATTCAGGTATTCAGGTATCCTCATTCAAAAGGAAGCAGAATTCAGAGAAGAGTAACTAAAGTGATCAAAGATCTGGGGGACAGAACTGTCTTGATTAGACAGCCTAGCCAAGCAGTGGCTGCTGGGATGAGGACCAAATAAGCATATGCAATTATAAGGAAAAAAGCCAGGTTTACTACTGAGTCTTGTTTCAAGGTAGGGGGAGAAGGAGATGTAACTGAGAATAGAATTAACCTGAACAAAAGTCCTTTGTTCTGACAAAAGTCTGACTGCACAAGAAGTTGAGAACTCATATCTCTCAGTGATGGGCTGAATAAAAGCAGGGTGATGGAAGAATAAGAGGAGAGCTGGAGGCAGGTATCAGTGGCTGTTTCATGGTCATACCCATGTTTCATCTCTGCTTCCAATAGAACTCTTTGAAAGAGCACAACCTACAACTCTGAGAACTTCTTTGGGAATATTGATAAGGATGGAAATATAAAGATTCCTGTGGCAGCCTTCTGGAAAGCCATGATGCAAGTGTGCCTCTGAAAGCATGGCCAGAATCTCTTCTGGTAGGGTACTGCTGTAGGGAAATCTCTCTGCTGCAGCAGAGCCACCAGCCAGCTTTGCTGGTGACATCAGGACCCTTCTGGGTCCCTTCCAACTCAGAGTATTCTGTGATTGTTAAGGCTAAAAGGCAAAATTCACTCATAGCAAATGCTGAGCCTAGAATGACACCAACAGAAATGCCATGACACCCAATAAATAGTGTAGATAGCATCAATGATAATGGACCAACTTCAGAATATCACAGACAGCCACTGTTTGTAGAGGATACACAGGATATTGATAGATTCTTATGTTTTACTGCTACAGGCAAGTGAAAAATAGGCATCTAAACCCTCAGCTGTACAATGGAGTAGACAGTTGTCTTGCTGCCAAAACCACTGTGGTGCTTGGGATCAGTAGCAATGGTCAACCAGACATGATGATCTTTTGCAAAAACAAAAACAAAATAATAATGATAGTAATAGTAATAGTAATAATAATAATAATAATAATAATTATTATTATTATTATTATATTTTTTATATTTTTTAAATGCTTAAATTGCCTCCCCACCACCATCCTGCATTTTTTCTGTCTCTCTTCCTCCATGCACCAGGCTATCTGCTCACCTATTAGAAGACAGACAGGCCCCACTCTGATATGGAGAATTTTTCTGCTTAAAATTAGCCAGGTTTCCTAGCACTTCCCCTCTTACCAACAAAGCATCCCACTGAACTGAGGCCAAACTGGTGAACTAGTGCACAGTCTAGACTGGAATCAGACAGCAGTTGTGCATTACAGGTGAATGACTCCTGCTTTGTCTTTTTTCCTTTAATTCAGCTTGACACCAAATAAACATAACCTTATTCATCTTAGGATGTGAAGGGATGTATGTTTTTGGCCAGTCCACTACTTATGCAAATAAAAGGTAAATGAAAAAAACACCCTGTATGTTTAGAAGTTCTGTTGAATCAAACTACAAGTCATATTTTCCAATTTGATAAACTTGCCATGAGAATCTTGCAGGAATCTCAGGGCTGAATGGCATTTTCATTCATCCTAAATCTATGATGAGAAGCATCAGCTCAGCACTATCCCCCCTGCAGCCAAAGTAAGATTTGCAAAGACAGCATATCTGTGCCATCAGAACTTTTCTTCCATCCTCAGGGACTCTTGGTTTTTTTCCTTCTCTCTGATTTCTCTTCTTAGGAGACCTACTTTTCCCTGGAAATCTACCTTCACACTACAGAACTTATCATTCTCTTGAAAGCGCTCTTCCTTAGTGCCTATAGCAATCATGTCCAAGTTCTGAGAGCTGAGCATTCAGCAGCAAACTCCTAAGAGGTTGTCAGTTGCTGCAGGCTAAACTGCTTGTCATTGGACCCAAAAGTCCCCCTAGACTTTCAGTCAGTTCTGACACGTGACTCATCAGCTGAAAGCCCTGTTAGTCATGCCCAAATGTTCCCATCCCTCAGCCCATATATGCTGTAGTCTAGCTTTAAAGCTAGAAGCAATGGGTCAGTTTTGCTCTTAGCCTCCTAATGTTTTCAAAGAGAAGCAAATTAATTTGTTGGGTCCAGTCTTTGTTCCTTAACAAATAGCAGCACCACACTAAAAGCATCCATGCTCAGATGCTAGATGTGCTTTAGCCTGGTTAACCTTCAGTCAGAAGTTACACAGGATTCCCAGTACTTCAGGCACAACTTACAGAACTGTGGTTAAGCAGATAAAACTGTTGAAATCCAGTGGCCAGAAAAGACTTCACCTGGTGTCCTTAACATGGCAGAGTTGAAGTAAGGGGGAAAATAGATATGGATGTATACATATACCCCTTATCTAGCTTCTTGATGCATTTTTAGCACTGTAGCATGTATGAAATTGTAATATTCACCTTGCAGACAAGTCAGAAGAGTTGTGATCTTTGCTGTCCTTACTGTTCCTAACTCAGGCTGTTTCCTCAAAATCCTCTCAGCAGCTTGAAGGTATCTGACAGAGAAGGTTCACTTTACTAGAATAATACTCATTCACTTCTTTTCAATCAGTCACTTAAAAGACCAGGAGACAGCACAGAAGCCTGTGGAAGGGGAAATAGAGGAGGAAGAAAGGGAAGAGACATAAAAATGAAGCAAGGAAGCAGGTCAGACAATGCAAGATTGTATGAGAACCACTGAAAGAAAGCTCAGAGTGGCTCTGAGCTTGGGGAGGCCCAACACTGAGGATCTGTGATAGTCTAAGTTATTGAATGTAAAAATGAAGCCGATGTTCCATTACGCAGCAGGTTCCTATACAGTTTGGTCTCTTTCCATTAAGGAAGGATTGGTCCTTTGAACCTGGTTACCAAATCTGTCTTGCTCTGTATGCTGACAGTGATGAACTTGCTTACAAAGATAAAGGCAAAAAGTGGGAATTGGGAAATAAAAACACTCATATATTGTTATTATCTCCTTTTGAGGTAAAGCACATGGACAAACACTGAGGTAAGGGCCACCAGTCATCCCCTGCCACCTTAGCAGAACTGACACAGGGACCTTTGCAAGAGAAAAAAAATAAATTCATTAGAAACTACAGCTGATGTTTCTTGAAAAGTTATGGGTGATAGAAATTTTCTTTAATGTCTCCCTGGAAAAAAAATATGTTAGAAAGATGGGAGACATACAGATTGGCTTGGACACCATACTTTTTTTAAACCAACAATAAAAAAATACATTTTACAGTTCTTAAGAAGTAATTAAAGCCTTGCGTATATTAATATTTATTTTAAAATAGAATCTAGAAAATGTTAATTTGTACAGGAAATACATTTGGCCATGTGACCAACTGTCAACACAGTCTTTACAACAAAAATCTTGACTAACTGGGAAGTGTTGGCCACTTTGGGAAGATCAGCTTTTGGTGGAAAGGAAAGAAGCTAGTTGCAATCTGATAAGTCTCTCTTTCCCAATGGAATTCCCATGTAGAAAAAAAAATCTTTGAAATATTTTGAAACCTTTCATAGAGTTTAGGTGGCTCCAGTGCCTAATCAGAGGTCAAGATGATGGTTGGCATGATGGCATTGGTGATATCTGCTCAGCACTCACCTTCAGAAGGCTTTAGCTCATTACCCCAGCAGGTCTGTGTCCTCTGATGCCTCTTCCTCCTCTGGTGACTCTTCCAGAATTGCCTTGCAATTGCAATCAGTGCCACCTTCACCTATGGAATATGTGGGGGTTTGAGATGAAGAATCAGAGCAGCATTTGAAATGCTGGCCAGTTTGCACATGCAGGGGTATAAGACTAGGGGATTTTCTGTTCTTTTCCTAATCATTCCTGAAAAGTCATTACCGATTCTTGACTACTGCTAAACACTGAGGTATATTTTCATAGAAACTGTTGTGGTTAGGGTTGGCACGGACCCCAGCCAGCAATCAAGCCCCAAGCAGCAACGTGCTCACTCCCCTACTTGTGCAGTCAGGGAGAGAACTGGAAGGGTAAAAAGTTAGAAAGCTTAGGGGTTGAAATAAAGACAGTTTAATAGGGAAACCAAATGCCACACATGTAAGCAAAGCAAAACAAGGAATAGAATCACTGCTTCCCACGGCAGGCAGGTGTTCAGCATCGCCAGGACAGCAGGGCCCCATCACCTGTAACAGTGACTTGGGAAGACAAACTCCATCACCCCAAACATCCCTCCCCTCCTCCAGCTTCCCCCCACTCTCTATACTGAGCATGATGCCACATGGTCTGGAATATCCCTTTGGTCAGTTGGTGTCATCTGTCCCCGCTGAGTCTCCCCCCAGCTTCCTCACCAGCGTGGCAGTACGGAAAGCAGAAAAGGCCTTGGCTCTGTGCAAGCCCTGCCCAGCAGTAACAAAAACATCTCTCTATTATCAACCCTGCGTCCAACACAAATCCAAAGAACAGCCCCTTGGAAGAAAATGAAATCTACCCCACGCCTGAGGAACACAGGAGCGTACACCAACCCTGCACTGGGGCTCGGGGAGGGCGGCAGCGGCCGGTGCCCGTCCCGCGGCCGTCCGAGCCCTCAGCCCCCAGCAGGCCCCGCACGCCGCGCTCGGGCCCCGGGCTGTGCAGTGCCCGCGCCGGCCGCCAGGTGTCAGCACAGCCCCGGCCGTGCCGCCGGCGGGCCCGGCACAGCGCGCCACGGAGACCTCGCCCGGAGCCCGTTCTCGTGGAATCCGGGAATGGCCTGGGTGGGAAACGACCTGAAACATCATCTACTTCCAATCTCCAGTCGCTGACAGGCACATCTTCCACTAGATCACGTTGCTTAGAGCTGCATTCAACCTGGCCTTAAAACATTTCCATGGATTCCATGGATGTGGCATGCACAACTGCTCTGGGCAACCCATTCCAGTGTCTCACCACCCTCACAGCAAAGAATTTTTTACTGATTTCTAATCTGAACCTATTCTCACTCTGTTTGACATCATTTCCCCTTGTCCGGTCACTACGTAATCTTACAAAATGTCTCTCTCCAGTAGGTTCCCTTCAGGTAATGGAAGGCCACAATTGGGTCACCCTAATGCCCTCTCTTTTCCAAGCTTAGCAGTCCCAATTCTTTTAGTGTTCTGTCAAAGGAAAGGTGCTCCATCCCACTAATTAACTTGGTGGCCTTCATTTGGACTCATTCCAACAGGTCCACGTCCTCCCCGTGCTGTGGAGCCCAGACCTGGATGCAGGTGAGGTCTTACCAGAGCTGTTCTTCCCCCAGGTACCTCAGTGCTGCTGTGCTGTGAGGAGCTGCCAGCAGGAGTGTGGCTGTTGTTCCATGTTCCTCCAGCACCCTGCTCCAGAGGCCGGTGGGTCAGCAGTGGCTGTGGCATGTTTTGTGCTGGACTCAGTGGAGTTGTGGTTGAGGGACTGAAGATGCCTGAGAACTGGTCCATACAGGTGTGGCAACTCTGTCATTGCTTGTTGGCCCACATGCGTGATGTGTCACTGCTGCAGGACAGTCTTAGTATCTCTTGGACCCACTGAAGTTACTGCAGCTGATTCACAGACCTGAGTGTAGATACTCTGCCTTTCTGGGGCTGTTGTTTGAAACAGGTCATGTCCTAGGATATTCTTCAGTGGCTCCAAGTCTGTTGACCAACTGTGCACTATTCCCTGGCTATGGCAGTGTAAAATGCCTGTGCCTCTCTCTCCCCCTCAGTCCCAAGAAACCCTTTTTTTAATCCTTTTTTTTCAGCCTAAGAGGCATAAAATGAAATACCAACATATGCAGACTCAGAATTAAGGCCTGAGAGTTGTGAACATCCAATGATTTTATATTCGCACCAAAAAAAAAAGTGTTTTGGTTTGGTTTTTTTTTGGTTTTTTTTTTTTTGCATGACACACAATTATTGTTACATAACAGAAAACAAGATTTGTAGCATCCCAGATTTTCCTTTCAAATGAGCCTCCTGGCTTATCAGCAGGCAGCTGATCTAAGGTCATTTAAGCTGGATCAGGAATAAGAAGTTTTTCACGTGCTTCCAGAGTGGAGAACAAGGAAGAGAGAACAATGGGATCTCACGGTACCTGATGTCAGAGAGTGAAGGTCCTGCTTCACTGTCCTTACAGCACTGTTTGTTGTATAGGAAAAGAGTGAACTTTGGGAACAGAGTGATCAGAGTGATCCTCTGTTCAATATCTTTGGTGTTTTCTTCCCACAGTGTCTTGGGCTTGCATATGTTACACATGGATCTTTATCTTATGCAAAGTGCTGTTGTGTATTAGTCACGCATTACTATTCCACTTAGGTTTGCACAGAATCAGATGCCCAACTAAACTGATTTGTTCAATTATCACACTCAAGTTTCTAGATTAGCTACAGCCAACAAAAATCTTCTGTAAGAAAACAACATAATCAAATAGAGATGGGAACTGGCCTGCGGCAGGTGTCACTTTTATTTATCTGAGTGTCCACTTAAACTCCAGAGCAACAGCAATGTGGCAGCTAGATTGTACCTTTATACCAGGAAAAATCTGCAGGGAGATTGGATGGTTTCTTTCAGCTGAAGAGTTTGAGACCACATTTTCATTCCAGAAGGGCTTGATAAATAAAAATTATTTATTTTGCCAAACACAAAATCAAGAGACTGAACCTCTGGGAAGGAACTAGATGCAACTATCTGTCCTACTATGTGGCCTGATGCAACTAAAATTGAGAGTGAAGATTTTGGTCACATGCAAGCAGTGTGGTAGAGGGATGTAGTTGCAGTTTGTATTGTGCAGATCTCTGAGCATTCTCAGATCAATAAAGCTTTTTTAAGCTTGGTGGCAGCATTTGTCCCCTTGCTGGGAATTCAGGGATAAATTCTGGTAAGACACTGAGCAGGGGCAGTCAGGGAATGGAACATGAATTGCTCTGCTGATCCTGCACCTGTGAAATGGCGCAGAAGGAAATGGTTTGCTAGCATAAATTAAGGCAGCTCTGAGACTCATCTAACATACCTCAGGAATTCAGCCTGCCAGCACAAAATTAGACAGTGTAAAAAGCTGGCTAAACTCTACATATCTTCCATAGCTTCTGAGAGTGACACAGCCAAGTGACATTGTCAGAGCTCTTCAATATTAGAAAGAAAATAACACTGTTTAAGTAATATGTTTTGAAAACACAACGTGCACACCAGGGTATTTAATGTGTTAGCTAGTTTAGATGAACCTTTGGCTATCTTGCAAGGAAAACAATCTTTTTGTAATGAATCCCATCCAGCAGAAAGAGATCCAATTCAGACTAATTTCCTAGGCACCATCACAATGCTTAGGACAACATCACTAATTAGAATCTTTGGAAATCTCAAAGTATAAAGACTAATCTTTTATGACAAACTATCTCAGCTTCACAGTGAAGACCTTTGATCTGTCTAGCTGAACTGACCTAAGGGTTTTTGGCTTTTAGTTGCAAAGGAGAAAACTCACAGGCTGCCGAAGCGGGTACACTGATCCCAGTCTTCCTCTTTTAAACTTGGATCAATAGTTCTTTGTTCCAGTAGCCTCCCATCCACATAGGGAGTGTTCAGTGTGTATCAGCGGACATGTGCCCTGTTCAAAAGGGTGTCTTGCAGCCATGCACAAAATCAAGCATCATAGGACTGGGAGCATGCCATGTACAAGGTACTGGTCAGTGCAACTAAG